AGAAGCACTGTTGCATTCCTACCATCTGGTATGGTGAAACTGCATCATTTCCAGTGGGGTTTTTTTATTACTTGTTACTATCTTTGATTGTTTGATCAATGTTACATTCTTACATCTGTGGGCTGAGCAACTTCGTTGAAGATAACAGTGCATAATGTAGCAACTGTTGTTAATTCCTGTCCTTTTGTTTTGAGGTCATGTATCGTTTTTGTTGTTTTTGTGTTGTTTTGATTTTGTCTTCATTGTTGTTGTTTTGTTAGTTTTTTACCTTTAAAATAAAATAAATAAAATAGTAGTTGACCAAACAAAAATCCTTCATGGATCAGTGAAGAGTAGTGTGAGGAGCCAAAAATGATGATCACAGTGTTTCTATGTAACTGAGTGTTAGTTAAATAGAAATCTTCTATATGCATGGCTATATAAGTAATATTTAAAATCTCACTTGATATGACCACCAAAAAAGATGTACTTAAGCACGTTGGCTAACTTTAGAAGGATTTTTCCCCTGAGTTTTATATGCTATTTTTTGTAGATGTTGCCTAAATGTGCAAATAAATGTTGCCTACAAGTGCAAACCTCTTTGCTAAAAGGGGTTTGTCTGGATAGTTAATTTTATTTTTGCTTAATTAAGAATGTTTCTAAAGATTTTAAAAACCATGTTAGTTGACTTTTATATTAAAATAATGCTGATATGTACTTTTGCAAATGATTTATTATTGGTAGAATTTTTTATAATGTCGTAATTACTATTTTACAGGGCAAGCTTAGAGCATAGTCACAGGATTTGCCTTTTATACCAAGCTCCTCATATGATGCTGTTTAGTTAGGATTCCTCTCTTCTAGAAGTTGTTTCTCTTTATCTCTACCCTGTCCTGGTTAACTGAAATTTTATTGAAGTTTTGCTGTAATTTTTCAGTTTCTTTCTGGTTTTAGCTCCTAGTATACATTATTTAGCTCACATTACTTAAAAGTACTAATCTTTACATTTACTTAATAGATATGTTATTATAAGCACTTTGCTAGGTATATATCCATTATGCAAATTATCATAATACTAAAATAACATATACATAGTTATAAATTAAGATAAGTGCTCTAACACTTAGGTAAAGCACAGAAAGGCACCTGACCTGGATGTAGGAAGTGGCCTTTAAGCTGAGATTTAAAGGAGGCTTAATAACCAGTTGGCAAGTAGGGGACACAGGTCAGTGGGCAGACTCTTTACAAAGGAGCTGTAGCAGAAGGAAGTGCAGTGTGACCAATAACAATAGAAATTACTAGGACTGCAGTGGTGCTCATCACTGGAAAATAGCAGAGGTAGCAGGAGCCTGATTTATTCAGGAGCCTAACAGAGGTGGGAAACACTGGAAGATTTTACATAGAGAGACTATCCAGGAGGAGATTTGTGTCTGAACAGGATCCTTTATTTATTGTTTTTTATTAACTTTTTTTTTTTCTTTACTTTTTCTTTCTCTCACTCTTCCCCTGCTCTCTCCTTCTCTTTCTCTATCTCCGTCCCTCTCTTCCTCCTTTCTCTCCTTTTCTTTTCCTTTTTCCTGTTTTGAGACAGAGTTTCACTATGTAGTTCAAGCTGGCCTTAAACTCACTTTATAGTTCAGGCTGGCCTCTAACTGATGGTGATCTTCCTACATCAGCTTCCTTAGCTTTTTTCTTTTTTTGATTTAGGGTCTCATTATACAGTTCAGGGTGGCCTTGCAGTTTGTAGCCCAGGCTGGCCTCAAACTCACAGCAGTCCTCCTGCCTCAGCCTTCTGAGTGCTAGGATTATGGGCATGCACCACATGCCTGGTTAAGGATCTTTTATTAATGGCTGTTTTTCTGGTTAGACTGTGAGCCTGTAAAGGGCCAACTGTTGATCTCAACAAGCACAGTGCAAATAGGCATTCAGTAAATACTAAGCTTCAACTGTTCCTACTGAGTGGCCCACAGTGAGTGCTGTCATGTTAGCTACAGTGTTTGCTGTGCTCTGTTGACCATGGGTATGGGACAGCTGCTGCTGTGGAATTAGACATTTCATAAAATCATTCAGCCTACAGTATTTGTTGGAGGTCTGTGACAGAATTAGAAGAATCAGCAGCTAAGTTTACTGTTAGAGTTTTATCACTTCTTTTTCCTTGTGCCCCATCTAGAATGTACAATGCACAAAGTAATTATTAGTAAGTCAGATCTGATAAATGAGGTGGTAAGAACTGATGCTCCTGTTGTGTTCATTTGATTGATTGGCTTGGGGCCTGTAAAGATAATCTTTATCAGACTGTTTCTTTTAGAGGTCTCTTGTTTTTTGTAATTTTTATCTTATTAGTACATATTTGCAGTTCATGCAGTTGGCAGTCATCTCAGGGAGTAGTTACATGTACATATTACAGCTTTTTTTTTTTTTTTTTTTTTAATTTCCCTTCCTTCTTCCAGAGTTCTTAAGTAAAGTTATCCTTCTACAGTTCATTTGAAATAGTCTCATCTTTATTCTTGTGTTACTGTATATTCATTTATTTTACATAAATTGGATGCCTTGGCATTTGGGCCAGTTGGTTTCTTTCCAAAGACTAAAGATTACTATTAGGAGTATTTTTTAGATAATCTGAAATATTATTATCATTTATGATAATTTTTAATACATGCAGTAGCTTTGATATTTTACTTTTCCAAGTGTTTAATTTGTACATGATATGTCCTCCTTTTTTGTTTGTTTTGTTTTTGGTTTTGTTTTTTTCTTTTCCTTGGTACTGAGGATTTGAGCCTCCAGGCCTTTACATTGAGCTAAATCTCCAGTGATGTGTCCTCTATATAGAGAGCACGTAATCATGTCAGCAACTTGCTGGCTACTCTCCCCCCTTTCCTCTCCTCTTTGCGTGTTAACAACCAGACTCCCACTAGCACATACTTGCTTATGTGTGCATTACTGGCTTTTAACTCATCCTGAGTCAAGGTACTTCTTGGAGAGAGGTGTCAGCTCCAACTTGTGCCTTTTCCTCAGTGCCTGAAACTGCACATGCAGAAACTACACAGCTATACTTAGTGGCAAGAATAACTCTGTATAAATTAGCTATTGGTTGTAATCAACTAGGCTGTAGACGATCTTTTATAAACAATGTATTTTAAAAACTAGAAGAGTTGTTCCTTTGCATAAGTGTTAAAACAATATTATATGTTACTAATTTTCATTGTCAAAACCTGGTTTGGTAAAATCATGTATATAGGAGGAAGTTATTTCTTGTTTTGTCAAATAAAGTTAAAGTTCTTTATTACCATTGTTTTTCATTCATTCGTTCATTCCTTCATTCATTCATGTTGTTGCACTGGAGGTTGAACTGCCTTTGTACTCAGATGCATCCACACACCTTTTTGTTTTGAGAATGAGTCTTGCTAAGTTGACCAGCCTGGGTTTGAACTTTTATCCTCCTGCCTCAGCCTCCCAGAGCACTGAGAATATAGATATGTTCTGTATACTTTTTATTGGGCTCAATTTTTAGTAACTAGAAATGTATACCCTGTCATGTGCATTATTTAATTTTTGATTATATACACTTTGCACAAAAGTAATGAGCCCATGTATTTGTCATCCAACTTCAGCATTAGTCCGTGTTTTGTTTTATCTGTTTTCCCCCATTTTCTCCCCATCAGATCATTTTGAAGTAAGTCCAAACATTGTGTTTTTAATCTCTGATCTGTTTAACACTTTCCTGCTGGCTTGAACCACAGGTGGTACGTTCCTGACTGTCCCATCAGCAGCTTGTGCCACTGGTGGTACAAACAGAGCTAATCCCTTTTATCAGTATTTTTACTAATAAAATTAATTTTTAAAAAATCTATTAATGGACTGACTAGTTAGTTGCTTGAATTTGAGTAATTACTTCCTAACTATAAATATTAATAGTATTCATCCCGATTAAAATTATTACAATATTCAACAAATTTGTCTTGTTAAATGTATTTATATGTGTGAATGGTTTATCAGTAACTAATTCTGTAAATTTTAACGTGGAAATTGTGCAGGTACTCCATTGCTAGTGTATGTGATGTGCTTACAACTGCTATACCACAAATTACCTGTACTACAATCTTTTTTATACCATTTTAATGTCTGATGGGACCGTCATGGACTTACCACTCGTGGTTCAAGCCAGCAGGGAACGATCAAATTCAAAGCAGAGTTGCCTGGCAATGAGCCATACAAATTGTGGTCCCATTATGAATGTGTTACATTGATGTTTAAATAACATTAAACATAATATCACTATCCTATCTAAAAAGTTATAGTAATTAACCATCTTATCAGCCATCTAGTTAGTTTTCACACTTTGTTCTTTCATAAATTACTTTTAAAGTTGGTTTGACCCAGAATCAAACAAGTCTATAAACTGTTCAGTATGTCTCTTGGATTGTTTGGGGCAGGGAATTGAGACAGCACTTGCTGTGTAGTTCAGGCTGGCCTTGAACTCACTATATAGCCCAGGCTGGGTCCAGACTTGTGGTAATTCTCTAGCCTGAGTTTCCTAAGTGCTGGGATTAGAGGCATGTGCCACCACACTCAGCTTGGATTGCTTTTAATTTATAGCATCGCTTTTCCCTCTTTTCTTGGATTTTGTTTGTTGAAGAAAGGGTCATTTGGATTTTGATGATTGTGTGTTTTTCTCTGCTGTCTATTATCTGTCCATGAATATTGCTTATTTATGTTTAAATAGACGATACCTCATATCTATTGACTGCAAGTACATTTTTATTAAAATGGAAAATTAATGCTTAATCTGTTGTTGAAGAATGAAGGATTTCGAAGATTACATAAATCCGATAGGCAGGCACTGAAGGATAGTGTGTGAACCTCATGAGTTAGAATACTTTTGTATCATTTTAGTAATGTAAAAGTTGCTGCCATCTTAAAGTATTGTAAAACACTAGAATATACAGTTGTAACAAGAATGGGTACACTAGTTTGATTATGATGGAAGTAACATTAACTTTTTTTTTCTTTTAACAAAAAAGATACCAGGTAATCAGCACTCCAACAGACTTTTTTATGGTAATGGAATATGTGTCTGGAGGTGAATTATTTGACTACATCTGTAAACATGGACGGGTGAGTAATGTATTATTTAGTACATAAGTGTGTAAGCTAAAAAAGAGGCAAATACTAGGAAATGGCGAGCCGCAAAGATACCTTCAAATTTGAGTTGCTTCTATAATAATGCCCAACTAAGTGTACAGAATATTATATAAATTTTCTTTCTTAAAAAGTATTGTCCTCAACCAAAATCAAAATTCTGATTTTGTGAAACATATTCCACTTAATTTCTAGATGAGTCTTATGTGCTTAAGTCTGTAAATTATGCTGACACAGTTATTTTCTTAGGACTTTAATATAAGTTCTGATTTAGTTTGTCTTACTGATAGTTCCCTAAAACATTGTGCACATTTAATGACATTAATTGAAAGCTAATATTAATTTATTTATCACATTCCCTTGTGACAAAACAAAACCTGTCAAATGACACAAACCTTAGACAAGGTTTTGGTTGGTTTGTTTTCTCTGATTTGTTGAGAATTCTAATTAGCCTACTTAGTTATATTTAGACTGATTATAAAACTAAAACTCTTGTTAAGTAGATCTCCTAGATAGTCCTAATACAGTTTGTTTTTTTCCTGATAGGTTGAAGAGATGGAAGCCAGGCGGCTCTTCCAGCAAATTCTGTCTGCTGTGGATTATTGTCATAGACATATGGTTGTTCATCGTGACCTAAAACCAGAGAATGTGCTATTGGATGCACAGATGAATGCCAAGATAGCGGATTTCGGTATGTAACTCTGGGGTTATTCAGAGATGTATAGCTACCTTTTAAAGTGTGCCAGTAACAATTCTTACAGAACTAAAAACTTTCAATGTTAATGTTGTAAATCTTGTACTGTGGAAAGGAATTAGTTGCAATCTCTGTACCAGCTTGGTGTTTTCCTTTAAATACACTTTTAAAGTGCAGATATTTCTAGAAAACTAGTTAGAGGGCTTGGACTGATATCTAGAACATATAAAGAACTCAAAAAAATTAGACCCTCCCCCTCAAAGTAAAAGACCCAATCAAAAAATGGGCAATTGAAATGAATAGAAGAATTCTCAGAAGAAATACAGATGCCCAATAAATACATGAAATAATGTTCACCGTCTCGGGCATTAAAATGCAAATTAAATCTACATTGAAATTTTGTCTTATTCCAGAAAGAATAACTGTCATCAAGAAGCAAATAATAATAAATACCCAAGAAGCTGAGGGGAAAAAGGAATCCTTCTACATTTTTGGCAAGAATGTAAACTAGTATAGCCATTATGGAAATTAGTATTGAAATTCATACTAGGAATTCCATTTCACCCAACTGACCCCTTTCTAGATATCTTTGGGAAAGATATCACAGTGATCCATGCACATTCATGTTTATAGCAGCATAAGTCATAATAGCTAAATTTTGGAAGCAGCCTATATGTCCATCAACAGATGAATGAAGAAAATGTGTTATTTATACACAATGGAGTACTACTCCGCCATAAAGAAAGGTAGTCTTTGGTCATTTGTAGGAAGATAGGTGTATTTTGATACCATAATGTTAAGTGAAATAAATCAGACACACAAACTTAAATATCACATTGTTTCTCTTAGATATGAAACACAAAGCATTAATAAAGAACAAAATAAAAGATAATAAGAAACAGGATTATAGATTTTTTTTTTGGAAAAGGAAAGCTGTAAAGAAATGGAGGGAGTTGAGGGAGGGGGCATGAAAAAAGAATTAAGATGTGTTATGCATGTGTACCAGTTCCTACAAGGAATATGATCATTATGATCTGAAACATGTGCTAATAAAAAACAACTCAAAACAAAACAAAACAAAACCATAAAGCCATTCAACCTGCATTTCTTCTGAGGAAATGATACTTAATGATACTTTTCTTGTCTGTGTTCCTTTTTTTTTTTTTTGCCAAAGGTCAGTACAAGGGTTAGTGGGTTGGGGAGGAGTCCCAAAGTCCTTTGAAAGTGTGAAGGTACATCATTTTCCCTATGAATGCACATAAACAGCTACTTGAAAATTTGCATGCATCTTTGAAAAAAGTTTTTAGTCCTGTGATTGGTGGAGAGGTCCATGATCTTAGTGTAATGTCTAACAACTTAATGAGAGAATGACTATTCTCACATACAGACAAGGTAAAATCTGGTTGTTATGCTCCAAGGACTTCTTGTTGTAAACATACCCATGTTTCTGAGAAAAAGATTAGAATGTGAGATCTTAAGGAAAAAGGTGTGAGGGTACAGAGTTCAGCCTTGCTGACTTAAATCTTTTTCTGTAGTTTTTCTTTAGACTAGGAAAACAAGTTTCACTATTTCTCTTTCTTTAGTGAAACTCTTTTAGGACTGTAGTTCAACTAGATTTTTGGATCAGTAGATTTTTTCTGTTAAAGCTTTCCAAATTAAAAACCTCAGAAAAATAACCTGCCTATCAACTGGAGCTTTTGAATTACTGATTTTTCAGAAAATTTATTTGTTTATTTATTGATTGATTGTTTTTTTCAGAGTGGGTCTTGCTCTGCAGTTCAGGCTGGCCTTGAACTCACTACTCACTATGTAGCCCAGGTTGGCCTTGAACTCATGGTAGTCCTTCTGCCTCAGCTTCCTGAGTGCTGGGATTAGAAGCATGCATCACCACACTCGACTACAAAGGCTTTTAAAAGCACAGTAGTAACTATTTTATTGTTTCAGTTAATGATTTCATTTTTGGAAAAGTTAAAATAATTTAGAACAACCTCATTTGTAATGTAAGCAGTTTGTTTAGAAAAATAATTTAATTTCGGTCGTGTCCATGATGTTCTTTAGCTTTTTTATAATCATGTAAGCACTGTGAAATGATCTGTTTGAAATCTAACAAGTGCTTTTCACTGCCTTAAAAAGTACAATGTATGGAGTGTTAAACACTTGAAAGTTTATATCTAGAATATCTAGCAGTAAGTAAACATTGCTTTTATTTTCAGGACTATCTAATATGATGTCAGATGGCGAGTTTCTACGAACTAGTTGTGGATCTCCAAATTACGCAGCACCTGAAGTCATCTCAGGCAGGTAATAAATTAGACAAAGCTTTTTGTAGTCTTGCAACATTTAATTATAGTATGTTTTTGGAAATGAAGATTTTTAATGCAGGAACAAATTGTTCACTTATTTTTCAGTTGTTGGAGGGAAAATGGTTATACTAAATGCCTTTTTAATTAAAAATTTTTCATTAAAAATGTAACTGAGCTGGGTGTGCTGGCACATACCTATCATCTAGTTCCTTGGGGGCTGAGGTGGAAAGGTTGCAAGTTTGAAGGTGGCCTGAGCTTAATTGAACCCTGACTCGAGAAAGTAAAAAGGGCTTGGAATGTAGTTCAGTGGGAAAGGCCTTGCCTAGCACGCTTGAGGCCAGGGCTTGAATCTGGAATACTAAAAAAGAAAAAAAGGAAAACAGATCTTGATGTAATAGGTCTTTCATTTTAGAAAAGGACAGATAAGAGAGTAAGCACTTGCTAATTTTAAGCTAATGTCATTATTTATCAGGCATAGTACTTTAGTAACTACTTTTTTGTTTGTGGTATTGGGGTTGAACCCAGGGTCTTCACACTGAGCTACTGTGTATCCCAAAACCTTTTCATTTTTTATTTTGAAACATCATCTTGCTAAATCAGAAAGGGTTTGAACTTTTAGTCCTCCTGCCTCGTCTTTCGGAGTGGGGAGATTATAGGAATACACTAGCACAGCTTACTATTTCGCATATTTTATGAAGTCAGTGGAATATTGTTTTATATTTTGTCTTTGGAAGCATGAAATTTTGCAGCACAATATTGTTGTTTCATGAAATTAAACTATACAAGTGGAGACTATTCATGTAATTCATTGACTGGTATAATATAATAACATTTATGCAGAGTGCAGTGGTAAAGTCAAGTCTTCCTGCAGTGGCCAATGTCTGATTTAAAAAGTCAACAATTCTCTGAAAATATTGAAAAGTAGCAGATACAGGAAAGCATTGCAGGTAGCAGATCTAGGCATGTTTTAATCCGTTTAGGATACTGTAACAGTATCAAAGAGTGGCTTTTAAACAAAGGAAATTTATTTCTTACCATTTTAGAGGGTGGAAAATAAAAAAAAAAAGGTGCTGGCACATTTGGTGTCTGGTAGGGATCTGTTCCTCATAGTCTGCTGTCTGGTCACTGTAACCTTCTGTGGTGGAAGGGAAGTGATCTCTCTGCATGGTCTCTTTTATAAGGGCACTAATCCCATCATGAGAGTTTCACCCTGTGACCTAATCCACCCCCAGAGTCTCCACCTCACTTTGGGAGTGAAGATTTTATTTTATTTTATTTTATTATTATTTTTTTTAAATTTTATTTTAAGGATAAAAGGAGGGAAACATTAACAGACATACAACATTTTACAACATATCACAAGCACAATATAGACAATACAGAGTTACAAACAAAGTGGTAGGGAATTAACAATGGTGGTTGTATTACATATTGATATCTTCAAAGTGGCTTCTCATGAAAACAGATATAGACATGCAATACTGGTCAACCAAAGACTCATTGACAGTTTCTTTCAGCATAGAAACAGCAGATAGAAGAACAACCATGTTATCTATCCTGTATATATATACATACAAAATTTGGGAGTGAAGATTTTAGCATATGAATTTTCAGGGCACATGAACATGCAGTCCACTGCAAGGAGTTTGGGTAATATAGCAAATGATATAAATGAGGAACAGCAATTTTTGAGAAGTATTTTCTGTCTTTTATACTGGAGATGTATAAATGTATTTTATCACCTCAGACCCAGGTTTGAGTTTGGTAATATGTTATCAGGAATTTTAATGCTTTAGAAAGATGAGAGAAAAAACAGGTGACAACTCTAGATATAGGTTACCTAGAGTAAAGCTAATCTTAGTTCTGTGAGCTAACAAGTGATTAGAATAAAAGCAGTAGGTACAAACTCTGTCTCCAGAGTACTAGTTGGGTACATTAATATGTCAAATATTGTTTAAAACAAATATGCCAGGGATAAAAATTCTGTTATGTGCATTTTCTTTCTTGTAATAGTTCTGTGGGGGAAGAATGAGCCTGTACACTACACTATTGGTTTTTAAAGTTTGTGATTATCTACTTTGATGTTTCCTTCAAAAAATCAACCATAGAAAGTTTTTAGTTAGTAAATTACAATTAAGTGTGTTGGTGACAAATATGTATCACATTTTTTTGGCAAACTTCCATGGTAACTGATTAGACCAATTATTCCTTATGGAGAATAACCCTTAAGTATTAGGAGTGGCTATGGGCTGTATTTTAAAAACATTGAAAATCAAAATATACAGAGTCTGTAACAACATTTGTATGTAGAAGCGGGCGGGGTAAAGAAAGATGAGGAAAAAGTGGTACTTGCTTTTCAGGTTTGTTATCCTTTTTAGGTTATATGCAGGCCCTGAAGTTGATATCTGGAGCTGTGGTGTCATCTTGTATGCTCTTCTTTGTGGCACCCTCCCATTTGATGATGAGCATGTTCCTACATTGTTTAAGAAGATCCGCGGGGGTGTGTTTTATATCCCAGAATATCTCAATCGCTCTGTTGCCACTCTCCTGATGCATATGCTGCAGGTTGACCCTCTGAAACGAGCAACTATTAAAGACATAAGGTGATTCTTCTTGCTTTGACTTTGCATATTTGCTTAGAGTAATAATAGTGACATTAGTTGAACGCTTGCTTTATGCTAGGCTTTATAACAATTTTATAAGCATTTTACTGGCCCTATTGCACAAACATCGTGTTACTTATCTTCAAAATACTTGCCAGTGCTGCTGAAACTTTTTAGTTTAAGTAGTAAAGCATACAAGACTCTTCAGAAGGCTCCACTCATTTCCTGTCTTCACCACAGCCCTTGTACCACTGCTTCAGTCACATTGAACTTGTCCTTATTCCTCATAGGAGGAATAACATAGATATTAACATAACACAGATTTACCTTTGTGTCCTTGTTTGTATTAGTGTCTGTCTATGCCTTTTCTGACCTGATAGTCTTCCATTTATCCTTTAAAGTTCTCCACACATGCCACCTTCCTTGTGAAATCTCTCTGATTCCAAGGCAAGCCTAGGAGCTGCTCCTGCCATATCAGCATTTTGTTTATGCTTTATTCTTTCATTCTTATACTGCACCTAGTTATTTCTCATTGTATCTCCTGAATTATGACTATGTCAGGGTAGAGTGTCTTACTCATCTTTCTTTGTACAGCATTACGAGACCTGGGAATAGTGTATACTCAGAAAGTATCTGAAGAAATCTCAAATGAAAAAACAGGGAGAGATTTGTGCATGAATAAAGCCTAAAGTTTTGCTACGTTTTTGACTCCAGTAGCCAGTAGTGGATTTGCTGTGAAGGATATCTTGTCAAGTGAGAAATTATCAGGAATGTGGTTGGTCCTACTCTGCCTGTTATAGTATACACAGAGGGATAATTCAGTGCTTTCTCTCCTTACTGTTTATGGTTTTAGAGAGGTTTTGTTCTTACCTTTCATCCATGTTTGTTTACAAACACATTTTTTGACATCTTTACAGAGCCCTTCCCCTTTTCTTCCTGATCCAGAATGACTACTTTGAGAGCTTGTGACCCTTGGAATATTTAATGGGTGGCTTAGGTAGTAGTTTATATAACTACTGCAGATCTCTTTTGCAAACGAGAACTGATAATTCCTTTTGCATTTATGTATAATTTTCTTTCCCTTGCATTTCTTCAGTATTCCAGGCCTCATGCGTGCATAGAAATGTGAAAGTGTACAGTAGCCACTAGATGTAGTTATAAAAATGAACTTAGCAGGAGAAAAGTACCCCTTTGCATTCACAGTTCTTTAGAATAATTTTCTTAATTGAGCTTTTCTCAGAAAGAAAATTAGGCATGCGCTAATTTCTAGTTATACTTCTTGTGTAAGCATATAAGAATAGTAAAAGCATTGATTCTATTCATATACTTAAAGGCTTTAGGAAGAAAAAAAAATACAGTAATACTAAGATGAGTTAATTTATCCATAAGTAGGTGGTATGAAATAATGTCATTCATTTTGGTACTTAATGGAACTTTTTTGTAGTTTCCATCATTTTTAATTTAGCTATATTCAGTTTTTTAATGTTTGAAAGTTCTTGATTTGATAAAATAGGATTCAACAGGCAAGAATTACAAATTACTGAAAAATTCCTATATACCAACCATTTTGCTATACAGACCTATTTTATTATTGACTTTTACTAGGTACCAGTTATTATTCTTATCTCACAAACCATGAAACTGATGCTTAGGTTTGGTCATGATTCATTTATGTATATCTTTGTCTCTATTACAGTTCCTTTAAATTAAGGACCAAGTATTCATATCAAAATGCATAATATCTGGCATATACTATATGTTGAACCAGTGTTTGTTCAAAGTTACACAGCTAATAAAGGACAGAACTGGGGTTCAACTCAAGAGTTTGTCTGAACTTTAGCAACCTGTATTAGTTGCACAATGCCAGATTATGATGCCAGTTCCATGACATTTATTCTTGCTTTAGTTTTATCATAATACTTTGTATATCTCTTACACTATAACAGTATTGTCACAATTACTTTTCAGTACTGTCACGATTACTTTTGTACAAGTTGAGTATCCTTATCTGAATGGTGAGGATCAGTAGTGTTTCAGATTTCAGATTTTTTAGGATTTTGGGATATTTGTGTAAATGTTACCAGTTAACCATCCTTTATCCAAAAACTCAAAATCTGAAGTGCTCCAGAATCTGAAACTTTCTGAACCATGAAAACTTCAAAAAGTTTCAGATTTTGGAACATTTCACATTTTCAGATTAGGGATGTGCAATCTGTATATACATTATTTATCTTACAAGAAATTGAAGGTTAAAAATATACCTCCATATTTCTTTATTCATTTAATCACTTTTGCTCTTATTCATTTAATGTTTATTGAACAACTGCTGGAAATACAATGGTAAACAAGACACATGTTGTGTTCATGCAATGCAGATCATTATATTCTCCTAGGTGTTTGTTTGCTTTTGAGGCAGTGTCTTCTTACGTAGTTCAGGCTGGCTTTGAACTCACTGTATAATCCAGGCTGGCCTCAAACTCCTGGCAGTCCTCCTGCGCCACAACCTCTGAGGTGCTGAGATCACAGGCCTGTACCACCATGCTGATGCTCCCAGGCTTTTAAAGCCTAGTAATAGTATTAATGCTATTGTGGTTAAAAGTGATAGGTTTAACTGTCTAAATAGGAATACTGATGTTTCTTTATAGTAGCAGTGGACTTATTAACATCTTTTGGGAAGAAAATCAACTGTGGGATATTGTCATTTATATGGTTGTAAAACAGTTGAATATCATAAACTGCAAATATTTAACTTAATGATTGAGATTTGTAGAATGATATCGAACATGTTAGCTGTAATTATTTTATAAGTGAATGTATGAAAACCTTTGGCTGCACGTAAAAAAATTTGGGTATATTTTAAGGTTTTAAAGTTTGATTATCTATATAATTGGTTTAATTTTACATCATATATCAAAGTCAGGTGTCAGATAGTAATGATAGAGTTTCTGGGATCTGTGTAGTAACCATAATACAGTAAATTGATTTTGCCTCATAAACATGCTAGTTACTGCTCACCTTGGTAGAGTTAATTCAGAAGTTGAGTAACAGCCACAAGTAGCCTTTTTAAATTGACAGTTACTTGTTGCAAAGAATGTTATCATTTGACCAAATGAATGTATTAGAAATAAAAACTTAAGATTTTCTTTTTTATTTTGTTTTAATTCATATTTTGTAAATTTATCTTTAAATTATGGGATTTAGTGGTTTAGTTATTATATCACAGAATTGTACATTGTTGCCACTTTCTACCTCTAGAACTTTTTACCCTTCGAAGAAGCACTGTCACTCTTCATTTTTGCCTCCTCCCAGCCTCTAAATGGATTCATACAGTGAGAGGCTTTGTGTGTGTGGCTTTTTCTTTTAGCGTATTTCCATAGTGTTGCATGCGTCAGTACGTCATTCCCTTTTTTCTTGAAAAATATTACATTGTATAAATACACTACTTTCATTAGCATTTGTTTCTGTCTTGGTTTTTGTGAGTAATATTGCCATAAATATGCACATACATATTTGTGTGTATATACATAGAGTCTATAACTATTGTATTACATTGTTGAGGCTTCTATTTTTTAGTGATTTTCCTTAAAATCTGATTTCTTTGTCATGTGTGGCTACTAAAGGCTTTCCTTTTTTAGCTAAATGGCCAACTAGTAGGTAGAGATTTCTTAAAATGGCATGATCTGAGCCAGGTGTGGTGGCATATACCTATAGCTCCAGCTACTTGGGAGTCTGAAGCAGGAGAATCACTTGAGCCTATGAATTTGAGACCAACCTTGGTAATATAGTGAGCAAACTGGGCCACCTAGTGAGACCTCATCTCAAAGGAAAAATAAAAAACTATAATCCAGTAAATCTCATAACCTGTGAGAGAGGCTCGGTGTGTTGGGGTGTATCAACAGTGTTCCACTGGTCAGTTTATAACTCTGCCTTGGCCGTCACTTCCTGCTTGTACAGAGCTTCAGAGCATGCCAATGAGAAATTAAGACCCTCTTAGTTCTTTCTTGGGCATTGTGTTAGTTACCTGTCCATTGCTAGGAAAAAATACCTAACATGCATGACTTAAAGGAGAAAGGATTGTTTGAGCTCATGATTTCAGAGGTTTTAGTCCATGGTTGCTGGCCCCACAGCAGAAACATCATGGCAAATGAAAGCTGTTTATTGGATGTCATCCAAGAAGCAGAGAGAGAAGAACCTGAGAGAAAAGTGCTAGGGAACAGAGAAAGCCTCCAAGGACACACCCCCATGACTAATGTAGGCATCTCTCAAATCACTCAACTTAACAAGCAAGAGTAATAGCCACACATCCATCCTTTGTCACCTTGTTACTCAGACATATCTCCTTAGATGTCTAATCTCTAAATACAACAACAAGGTCAGAACTATGCCCAATATAACTATTGGGAAAACAAACTAATTCACCATAAAGTCCCAACAGTACTAACTCAAAATTCCAAGTCCAAAGTCTCTTCTGACACTCAGGGCAACTCTTACCAGTGAGCCCTTGTAAAAATTTTAAAAACCAAGGTATATACTCTCAAGATAAGGTAACCCAAGGTAAACATTCCCATTCCAGGAGCGGGGGAGTAGGGGTACAGAAAAGAATCAAACCAAAACAAGGCCAGAACTTAGCAAAGAAAAGATTAGTCCTCTATAGCTCTGTATCTGGCATCTGGTACACATGTGTGGCAGTGTGATGTGAGCTCCTAAGACTTGGGTGCCCTGCCTTTGTAGCCTTGCCAGTCACAGTCTACTATGTGGCCTTTCTCTCAGCCTGGCTGCGCACACTCTCTGCAGGTTTCCTCAGCAGATGTCCCACATTCCTGGCCTCTCCAACTTGCTGGAGTGTTCATTGCAGCTTTGGCCCCACCCTGACAGTTTCGTGCATCTTCCACTCAGGGGCTCTTGCGGGAATTCTGACCCTGTCATACATCATGTAATCTCGCATGCTGTCCTTTGGAATGTGTGGAAGCCTCCATGACCATAATGCTTGTATTCTTTATGTCTGAAGCCTAGTGTAATGTGGATGACACCTAAGTCTGTCACCACATTGAGAAGTGCCTGAGCTCACTGAAATCGTGGCTATAGTGGCATCTGATTGCTTTGATAGCTGAGCCCTGTGAAATGAATCCTGGAGAACCAGTTCCCTGTGTGGCTGTTCCCAAGCAGGGGCAGCTGAGGACACAGACAGAATGTAGAGAAGTTTTTGCCATTGTGTAACATGTGCATAGTCTTTACTGTTTCCATTTCAACCAACATTCTAGTCTTCTGATCCCTCACTGGAATTGTCCACTAAGCTCTACTTCAAATATTTTAGGACTTCTCTCGCCCACATTTCCCACAACCTTTTCAAATTCCTATTAAAACCAGTTCCAAAGATTTCCCAAACATACGGTCAGGTGTAGCCATACCAATGAGTCCACCTCCCTGGTACCAGTTTTCTGAATTGATCAGTTTTCTGTCCCTGAGGCAAAATATCTGACATATACAATTTAAAGGAGGAAGTATTTATTTTGACGGTTTCAAAGCTTTCAGTTTATGGTTGGTGGATCTGAGGACAAAACCTGGTGGAAGGGCATAGAGGGAAGCTGCTGACCTCATTGCAGCCAAGAATGAGGGTACCAGGTAAAAGCCAGAGAGGAAGCGGCCAGGACCAGACACAGTCCTCAAAGTCATGCCCTCCTGCGCCTCCCAGCTGCACTCAGTGGTGTGCTGCACTAACCTCCAAGATGACTAAGCCAGTCAGGCTGACAGTGAAGATTAACCGTCACAGGCGTGCACACAGCCCTGCAGGTACACTTCTGGCCGCCATAAGCACCAACAGTACATGAAAATCTTTCAAAGACCTCCTTGGAATTCTTATACCCTAACTTTTCACTTTTAGGTTTTTGAGCCAGCTGCTAGGGTACTCAACTCTTACGTTGCTTTAGATAGCTGAAATTCCAGTTGCTGTGATTGTTTTTGACAAGTGTCCTGGGAGAAGGCTGTTTGTAGTGAGTGAGCTCTAAGTTGCATCAAATAAAGACAGGCCTCTGAGGATAAGTTTCCACGGAGTTGCTAGGTAGGTTAAACAGTGGTGGTTCTCTTTGGGAAAACAATTGGGGAGTCCAAGTCCATTCTGTTCCTCCTTCCTTCCCACTTCAGTGTTGTTACCCTGTTGATTTTCTCTACTATTTGATTATGAAGCTGTTGGATTTTAAGGCATGTGTAGATGGAGAAAGGAAGATGAATACAAGGCAACTGAAAAAGCCATACATCTCATTTTTCTTGCTGAGATTCACCCATTTTTCTTTAATATTTTTCAGATTGTTGCAAGGTATTTATTAATTTCTGGAGTTATGAACAAGTTGATTTTGAAAAATCTTGCTAAAAGTCTCACTAACACATGATTCCTGTTACCACTCCTTTTCATAACTCATTATGCTTTCATGATTTGGGGCTAGTTTAATTCTTACAACATAAAAAGACTTGTTCGTGTCCTAAGGTCTTCACACACTTTGCTTCTTTTGCTGGAAATATTTGTTCCCCAACTCTGCTTAGGTGAGTTAGGTGATCGTTCTGGTGTTTGCTTAAGGACAGTGTTACTCGGAGGGGCTTTCCTAGTCACCCACCATTTCTGCATTCTGTGCTCTGGCTTTACACAGTGCTTTTGTACTTAACATCTGTATCACAGGGTTTGCATATCTATATGTTTGTAGCTTTGTATTTATTCTTACAAATGTTTGTCTAATCTCTATCTATGTAGTATGTAATTTCTGTGTGGAGGAGTATATCTTTTTGTCTGTCGTATGTCCTCAGTAAATATTCATAAATAAATAGGTGAAATAGAAGCTATTTGGTGAAAATATATCATTGATCACACCTTAAGGATTGCCCAGTTCTATCATATAACAGTGCTTAATCATGCAGAATAGTATTTGTTGCCGGAAAAGAGGTGAAAAGGGTGTAATATTCTAGGGTGGCAATAGCAGTGTCAGGTACACAGGCCCTGAAGTATGAGAAAATAAGATTTGGAGAGAATCCCAAGCTTTTTAGCTAAAATAGGTCTTTATACTGCTTAAAACTATGGAGGACCTCAAAGAAGTTTTTAAATATAGGCTTTATCAGTAATTAGCCTGTTAGAAATTAAACCATATTTAATTCACTTAATAAATCCATTGCACATTAATTTAAATAATACCTCTTTTATGAAAACTTTTACTTTCCAGAACAAAAAAAATATAAGAAGAGTGGCATTACTTTCCATTTTTGTAAGTCTTTTTATTGTCTGGTTTAATCAAAGACAGTTATGCTTTCACATCTGTGTCTTCATTCAGTCTTGTAATACTTAGATTAGCTGAAATGTTTGAAGAAGGTGTGACCTCACTTAGGTAGGTGATTGGAAAGTTCACTTCCTAATCACTTAGGTAGGTGATTAATAGCCTTTCAGATAATTGTGATTTTTTTGATATTAAAACAAAGTTTAACGGGGGCTGGGGGTTTAGCTCAGTGGCAGACCACCTGCCTGGCAAGCGCGAAGTCATGAGTTCCATTCCCCGTTCCGAAAAAAAAAAAAAAGAAAACAAACAAACAAACAAACAAAGTTTAACATACTAATCTGCAATAGCAAATGAGAAAACAAATTAATGAACTTCTGTATTTCATGACATTATAATTAACTGGTCTATTTTTCATTTTGAGTGACTCACACCATACATTGGCTGTTGAAAAATCTTGTGTTACTGATCTCTGCAGATTTCCTAAATCTTGACATGTCTTTATTTTATTTTATTTAATATTTTTTTGGCACCAGGAATTGAACTCAGGGCCTTGCACTTGCCAGGCAGGTACTATGCTGCTGAGCTACATCCCAGGCCCAACATATTTCATTATACAAAAAATCTTGTATAATGATTGTTATTATCAACACTAACTTCATCAGATAGTTGTAGGTTAGGTTTTGAGAAGTTGTCAAATTCATGGAGGCATATAGAAATTACTATACAAAATTCCAGAGTTTTGCTTGAAGTCCTGAAATTTATCATTGGCAACAGGTATTAGTGATAGGCTCGCTTTGCTCATTTTCAAGAAAATGAAGGCTAGCACCCAAACCTGAATAATCATAGTTATTCCAAGAGTACAGATGAATTAACTTGCCCAGGGTCACATAGGTGGTAGGTGCAGAGCTGAGACTGGAGACCAAAACTCTGAGTCCTTGTTGTATTGGCCCATGTCTAAATTATTTGGGACTTGCCAAAGCATGTTCTTACAATAGTGTATTGTGGTGTTTTTTCCTAGAGAGCATGAATGGTTTAAACAAGATTTGCCCAATTACTTATTTCCTGAAGACCCCTCTTATGACGCTAACGTCATTGATGATGAGGCTGTGAAAGAAGTGTGTGAAAAATTTGAGTGTACAGAATCAGAAGTAATGAACAGTTTATATAGTGGTGACCCTCAAGACCAGCTTGCAGTGGCTTATCATCTTATCATTGACAATCGGAGAATAATGAACCAAGCCAGTGAGTTCTACCTCGCCTCTAGTCCTCCAACTGGTTCTTTTATGGATGATAGTGCCATGCATATTCCCCCAGGCCTGAAACCTCATCCCGAAAGGATGCCACCCCTTATAGCAGACAGCCCCAAAGCAAGATGCCCATTGGATGCACTGAATACAACTAAGCCCAAATCGTTAGCTGTGAAGAAAGCCAAATGGCATCTTGGAATCCGAAGCCAGAGCAAACCATATGACATCATGGCTGAAGTTTACCGAGCTATGAAGCAGCTGGATTTTGAATGGAAGGTAGGAGATGTGGTGCATTAAGGTCATTTGCATTAAGCCTTCTGAGCAGTTGAGTTGCATATATTGATCAATAAAAAGTTATTTTTTGATTTTGACATAAATTTAGTGGACTTACTACTTTTGGCTGGTAAACCCTTTCCAGTAGTTAACATATGCATTCAAACCAAAACAAGTACACCTCTACAAGGACAAACAGCTGTTGCTGTTGGAACCCACATATTTTCAATTACAGAATAGCTTTCTGGGCCAAGAAACAGAAGGTATAAACTTGGCTTACACGAGCAGATACTGTACCTGTTTCAGCATGCTTCATAACAGAGTCCTGCATCTTCGAAGACAGTATATTTTTACTTTCTTTTCTCTCTTTATGGGAATTTAATTAATTAATTAATTATGCTTCTTAATTGCAGGTGGGTGGCTTTGACAGTTAGTGGTTAATATAAATTATATCATCAGGACATATTTTCTCAGTCAACAAATACTTTTCTCCAAGTTGAGAAATTCCCTTATCTGCTGCTTTTAACCTTTAGTTATGGTATGTTTTACTTAGTATCAGCCAGTTTTATTCTCTTTTAAAGTTAGTGGTTAATTGCATTGCAACCTACTTGAATATATGTGGAGGGAAAAGTGCCTTTTTACTTTAGATATCCTCAGTTTTTTTCTTTTCTTGAGTTGTGAAAATTCTTTTAAAGGAAGCAGAAAGGCATCCAAACTTGTTGTGTAAATATTTATTTGGTGTGTTTAAATAAATCACTTTCATTATCTGTACATGAACAGATGAAAATGTTTCCTTAAAAGTAAAACACAGCTCTGCCTTTCCTGAAGCAGCTTTGTTTAGTTAAAAAAGATGTTTATGTCTTTAAAATTTTTTGCTGAAAAATTTTTGAAACTATTTTGATGTTTTAAAAACCCAGCATATTCTTTATCTGAGGTACAGTTTTCTTATTTTTAAGACGCATAGTAGCTGTGCATGGTGGCTCATGCCTACAATCCCATTACTCTGGGAGACTGAGGCAGGAGAATCAAAAGTTTGAACCAGCCTGTGTAACTTAGCAACTTAAGAAGACCCTCAAAATTAAAAATGAAAAAGGCTAGAATGTAACTCAGTGCAAAGGCCCTGGGTTAAATGGCTTGGAGGTTGGGTGAGAAAGCGCTTAGTATTTTCCTCACAGGATCATTGTGATGCCTGAGTTTTGTGACAGAACCTCATGTAAGCCTTTGACATGTTAGCTCCTCTTTATTCCTGCCGCTCCCTGCTCATCAATAAAAGTATAAAGGAAAAACAGGGCAATCGATTCTTACTGACGCTTTAGGATGGATACATACCTGGAGTGAAGGTTAGACGATATATAATGCCTGAGTTCTCTTTAAGTTGTAGTTGCTGTTCACGGATGGTGCTGCTAGCGGAATTAGTCAAATATTAAAGTAAACCACTTACATTATGTAAACAAGGAGTCAATGAAAAATTCCTTCCATACTGCAGCCCTCTTAATTGTTTGTTTTTGACACTCTTTGCAATACCAAGGGAGACTTTCTTTTAGTTTGTTATTTTTACTGGTTTCTTGTTTTAGGTGGTGAATGCATATCATCTTCGTGTAAGAAGAAAAAATCCAGTGACTGGCAATTATGTGAAAATGAGCTTACAGCTTTACCTGGTTGACAATAGGAGCTATCTTTTGGATTTTAAAAGCATTGATGGTAAGGAAGTTATGCAGCCATGAGCTCTGAGAAGGTAAAACTTGGCACTATTTGACCAGGTACAGTCATCTTAAAGACATAGTGGGTATGTGTTCTGCACTGGTTAGTAAGTGGCCTAGACTTAAATGAACTGTAAGTGAAATGATTCTGACTTTTGCTTGATGTATAGGAGAAAGCAGGTTGCCAAGATGTGCTTTTTCACATGCAGGGATAGCATTCATTTCAGTGTTAATGCCATATACTTTGTTGAGCGTTTGGGGGCCACATCTGACTGTGTGGGAATATTGCGAGTGACTACTAATGCCTTTTAAAACTGTCCCGGAGCAGAGTTACTGCCCTCACTGCTCCTGAAATGCTGAAGTATGACTTTCACTACTCAGTTGGCCTTGCTCAACTGTTTCCTTAGCATTCTGTGGCAGCTTCAGAGGAAAGACTTGGCCGATAGACTTTTCATACAAATTGCTCTTCTTTGATCCTTTTCAGATGAGGTGGTGGAGCAGAGGTCCGGTTCCTCGACACCTCAGCGTTCCTGCTCTGCTGCTGGTTTACACAGACCGAGGTCAAGTTTTGATTCTGTGACTGTGGAGAGCCATTCACTTTCTGGCTCCCTCACAGGCTCCTTGACTGGAAGCACAGTGTCTTCAGCGTCCCCTCGCCTGGGTAGTCACACCATGGATTTTTTTGAGATGTGTGCCAGTCTCATCACTACTTTAGCCCGTTGATGACCTGTCCCTGGTTTCTATCTTTCTGTTACTGCACTGTGAAAATAAGATATATTCTTTAAATTGTTACCTTCCAGATATCACATACTCTGCAATATTTTTCTTTTTGGACCGGGAATCGAACTCAGGATCTCACGCTTGCCAAGCAGGCGTTGTGGCCCTGAGCTATATCCCCGGCCCCATACTCTGCAATATTGAGAGAGATGAATATTACCAGGGGAAATGCAATACCACTGAAACTACTGAAAACAAAAAGCCTGACATTTAATTTAGAACTCTCATTTTGTTGTGCCTCTCATAAGCTCACATAGGCAGTGTTTTTAGTGGGTGGACATTGACGAAGATTGTTAATTTACAGTTGTGAATTCACTACAGGTGATGAGCACACCTCACTGCTGAGTCAGCTAGTCCAGCACTTCCTCGTTCCACTATTTAGTGTAGGTAGATCCAGCTTCTTAAGTTACAGCAGGTTTTAAGCTGGGCTTTTGCTTGCAGTTTTGTGGTACAAGAATATTAAAAGACAAAGTTGTCATTAGTAAAATGTTATTTAGATGGTGAAATGTTAAAAGGTTACGCCCCAAATTTTAGAAATCAAGTTTTTCTAACAGTGTTTGCAGATGCTGCCTACCATTCATCAGAAGGGCTGTGGTCTTGTAACAGGTGCCCACAATTTCCTTAAGAACAGTTTTATCTTGAGATTTCCCAGAATAATGTTGTTTCTCTTAAGAACCTTAAAGGTTCTAGTTAGTATTGGAACATCTGGAATTGGAACACTTTCTGTCTTTTCCATAAGCTCACGTAACTTAAAAACATTTTCAAGACCTATCTTTTTCAAATGCTTTTTGTGACTTTATTTTTGCACATTACCAGGAATGTAAAAGACAGTTAAATGAAACAACTAGAAACGTCACCAGTCCCTTAAAAGGGTACTGTTATTTTTGATCTTTTGTGTGTATGTGGTAGGGGAGGATTAGGAAGTTACAGTCCAGCTGTACCTCATGATATAATTCTTTGTTTGAAATTTAAATTGTACATGCCAGCTCCTTCCGCCACCTTCACCTGTGACGTTGTCTTTATTCCTGGACCTTCACTGGCTGATTACCTAAGTTTTGATTCCCTTTTGGTCCCCTTTCTTGGTTGCTAGTCATTCGTTTGAAAACTGTGGTTCTGCCCTAAGGGCTTTTATGCTTCCAAAGCTTGATAGCCTGTGACCTTCACTCTTGATCCTGATAGGGTGAAGAAGCCTTAAGCATTCAAAAATATTCTATCTTGAATAACTATATGTTGCTTACATATATAATATATGTGTTCACACACCAGTGCTTTTAATCCAAAACCACATTTTTTTGTTCTGCTTTGTGCAAGGTTTTTTGTTTTAAAGATTAAAAACACCCCAGCTGTATATAGCAGGGTAGGTAGTAGCTTACTGATTATATGTTGTTTTAGTACAACTATTTAATTTTTAAATTATATGTAATTTATCTAATTTGTATTTATTCATTTATTCTATTTATGTTGTAATTTACAATCTCATTCACCAGACTCACCCTGTAAAATATTAAGGTCTTGAAAACAAAAAAAATGACATTGCCTTGACAGGTCTCTCTGCCACGAATAATGTATTTTCTACAAAGAAACAAATGAGAATGTTAGACCAAGTTTTTCTTGTGTTTATGGACGATAAGTATATCTATCTTAAAAGATCAGTTGAGTCAGGAGCTTGCATTGTGGAACCTTTAACATGTGGCATTCAATATTCTAAGCCCAAGTTCTTAATAGTAAAATAAAAAAAATTTTTTTTTCATGCATTTGATGGGGGGGTTGTACACTGAGATGACAGTTTAAGGTTTAACCTTTGAAAGATTGCCATCTTGTGGCCTGAGAGGGTAATTTTGTTTAGTAATTAATTTGGTGGGGTAAATAGTCCTGCTGTTAAGTAAGCTGTTCATTGCATGTACAGCATGATCTTGTCTTTTCCAGTGTACGTATATTTTTTGGGAAACACAAGGCGATTTCATAATTTTTGCCTAGCTGAATGGGATAACTTTAGAAATAAGGAACTAATCAAGTTCTTTGTGCACAGTGAAGACCCCAAAGCAACTTCATAGGCAGAGAAACAGCAAGAGTCTGGAACATTTTAGTTTTTTTGAACCGGGAATCAAACTCAGGACCTCGTACTTGCCAGGCAGGTGCAGTGCAGCTGAGCTATATACTCCTGGCCCCATTTTAGCTTTATTAGTCTAGTAAATCAGATGTTGGAATTTTTTAGTAGATATTAGAATGTTTTTTGAGAGTTAAAAAATGTATTTGCTATTTTTTTATTCTTACCAGTATTTTGAGCACCCACACACAGTTTGATAGTTACCTGTTTGTTGAATTTTGGGGGACCTGAGGGTCATAGTTTTTTTTTTTTTCTGGGTAACTTTTTAAAACATAACTTTTCTGTGATTTTAGGTGGTATACTTTGTTTTGAAAAAATTGCAGGAGACTCAGTCTTGCATAATAAAGACTAGAACATTATCATAAACAGGCTTTTTTTCCTTGTGGGCACAGAGAAGGAAGGAATATGCTGCTAATCCCAAACTCCCATATTTTAGTCTTGTGACTGGTTAACTGTGGGTGTAGTACATAGGTCTGGGCTGAGAGGAATTTCTCCCAGTTCAGAGACTGGGGAGAGCTTCTGTGGCTGTTGTATGACAGCTAGTTCTTATGTGTGTCATGCAAATGGACTCCTTTTGGTTCTAGGACAGCATTTCCCAAGTAAACAGATTTCATGAAGTAAGTTTGGAAAATATCCTACTTTCCCCCTTAGGATAACAGAGAAGTATTGAAGAGTGACAGATCCTTTCATGTAAAAATGAAAACCGTATAATTTTATTTAATCCTGCTTTGCCCAAATTAATTTACTATTTTAAAAAAACTTGGGAGAAAAAAGTTTGGAAAATGCTTTTTAGGAAAGTTACTGTACCAGGTGATCATAATTAGGGTAGTTACGAATGCAGTTAAGACAGTGCTGCGTTTTCCCTTCTCAGTTGTTGGGGAGAACCTGGTTCAGAGTCAGAACCTTCTGTTTTAACCCCTAGACATACAGAGTAAATGCAGAACTAAGAATTTTTGTCTGAAACTTGTTTTGTAAAACACTCGTTTTCACAATGAGGTTGTAGTATTGTGTGGGAGCAAGATTTATTTCTTGTATTAATGGGTGACTGAAAACTATTAAAGAAAATTACTTGTGAAGAAAAGACTAAGAGACCCTTAAACCATGAGCCAGTATGATTGATGCTTTCAAAATGTGTAATCAGTGAACATCTAAACACTTTTGTTTAGAATGCCATATTTAAACCTGATGCTTGTCTTTCAGTTTAGGGAGAGACACTGTCTCACATTAAGTATGCAGGGAGAAAGGGAGGCGAACCATTTAGAAGTTGTTTTTTGTTGTAATCACAGAACTTTTAAAAGACATTTTTGTAAACTCTAGTGTGTGCATTGATACTAGCCACAAATAAGGAGAATCCAGGAATCTTTGAAATAAGTTTTTCTGTGTCAGTCAGCTGGTGATTTGTAACACAGACACTTACCCTTTTTTCCACAAATACTTTGTTACAAACACTTTCTCTTATTCTGTAGCCAATTCGTACTTAGGGAATACAAATTAATTTTTAGGATCGAGATGTAATTTAGAAAGTAATCATAAAGAATCATTACAAATTTGGGGACTACTTTATCTGTAACATCTATTAATGTTCAGTACACTGAGTTCATATAGGCATTACCCCTCTTTTTTAAATTATAAAAGCCTGGGTCATGCCTACCAAAGATGCTGCATCTTTTGTCCATTCACTGGCTAATAATTTAAATCCCAGTAATGGTAAGATCTCAGTATCTAAATGCTAGATACATTCATAGTTTTGTCTGTTTTTGTTTTTAAACACCCAAATCTGTCATTTCTTTTACCTTGTTCTCTTACCATCCTGTGGCTTTTTAAGTGGGGAATGTAACTTGAATCGTAGTTCTCAGACTGCATGACTTAACTCTGTGAGAGGTGTGTGCAATCTGCTGATAAGTCATAGCCTGTGTTGGACCTCATTTCTGTGACCCTAAAATGGGAGGGACAGAGTAGAAGACTTCTAAGGTACCTCTGAACGTTAAAGTTTTTGCCTTTTCTACCTTTGCATGTGGTTTGTGTTAAATGTTCACTTTATATGTATTTAGAGTTTTTATACTAGCGTGAATGTTCTCTTTTGGTTCAGTGAGGCATTTTGATGATGTATACTTGAATATTTTTCTAAATATAGCTGTCCTCTGACATGCAGATGGCAAAAATCATCCAGAAACCAGACATGTTCAAACATCATGATGACTTGACATAGGACACAAGATAACTAATTATAGTCCTGGAAGTGTTCCACACATTTCTATATTGATATTTAGATTTAGGGAACACCCCCCCATCTGTTAATTTACATTATAATAACCTGGGAGATAACCAGAAAAGTACATTTTGCCACTTTGCAGATGAGGAAACAGCATCACAAAGCTCTTTATAAAGCTGAATTCACTGGCAGTCAGTTGCTGTTCAGAGTACACCACCTTTCTTCTAGGGTGGAGCAGTCTGAAGTCCTAAACACAGATTGCTTTTAAGTCTTAGAGTGATGTAGTCTTAACTAAGTATTTCTTAGTTTAATTGTATAAACCAGTTGATTGTAATAAGTAGGTGCAATTATTTGAAGTATTTATGATTAGCATGTTGATTTTTTTATAAGTACTTGTAAGCTATTGAGGGTGCTTAAAAATACTAAAGAAACTTTAGGACATAATTCTTCCTGTAATTTTATTTCTATGATTATTCCAGCACATTCTCTTCAAGAAAAATTAGCCTCAGTCCTTATCTAAATTATCATAGCTTTTGACCGTTACCTGAGAATTAAGCCTATCTCAATTTCATATACAGGTTGGTAATTTTTTTGTATGCATATTAGATAATACACTTTTCATAGAGTGTGTTTTTCTTTATGAAGTACCTAATTATTATTGGCTTGATAAAGATTCTTCCAAACTTAAAACTTTGAAATGGAACTTAAATTTAAGGAGCTTTGAAATTCCTATAAACCCATACCAAGTTGTTGGCACCCTAACTGGCCTTTCCCACATAGAATTATAATGTATTTGATGCCACTGAATAGTAATGGCATGAAGGATAGGACCCTTCATCTGGACGGGGTTAATCCGTTAATTAGGTTAAACTTCTGCAGCTATAATCAGGTAAGAATCAGGACGAGTCTAGAAGTGCTCAGACTGTGGGCCTATGTGAATTTTGTAAGCCAGTGTTAATGTTTACTGCCATCCATGCATATAGTGCCAATTTGCAGCCTTGACTTTTGGTGATGGTGGTTTATATTTCAAACAGTTTAGATATTATGGATGTAGCTCATGATTATTCGGACAAATAGGCTAGGTAAATTTTAATCATTAAAGTGCAATTAAGAAACTCCTAGAGTAGAGAACTCTTTCTAGGAGAAAGAGTTAACTATTTGTAGAATATTCTGGGATGAAAACATTTTGAATATACATAGAGTTTTGACAAGATTTATACAGTGTGATTTTTTAAATTCTAAATTTCCTGTATTTAAATTTTTAAGGAGGAACAAAATTCTAGGCAAGGAGAATTGCATAATTTTTTTTCTGCTAAAAATACGTTTGTCAGTTGAAAGTTCCTTTTAAGTTTTTTTTTTTTTTAACTGAAAAAGTCATTTTTCTAGAAAGGTAGCATTTTCTTAAAATGGAAAGGAGAAATCTACTGTTCTGAAAACAACCCCCTGAATTGTGCCTTTTCTCTTAAATTATAGGAATAATAGTAAAGTTGTTTAAACCTTGCCCCCATTCCTTTTCATTTTTCCTTAGATTTTCTCTTCACAGCTGATCATGTTGCTTCTACCTGTTTGGTTTCAAATTACTTTGGCCAAACCACATAGTGTCTGTCACAGCTGAAAGTTGTTCACTAAATGTATTTTCTATTTCTTGTATGTTGTTTCACGTAAATCACCTTGGTAAATATTTAGCTGCCTTTTCATGCTTTTAAAAGGAATACAATGAATAGTAATCTCTATATTTTAAAAGTTTGGAAAGGAAAGAATTAATGCAGAGTTAAGGACAAAATCTAATTGGAATCTGATTCCTTTGACTGCTATAGCAGTGCAAGTCATAGAACCTCATTGTTTTCTCTTGTACAAAATGTGGATAATAACCTACCTCACAGGTGTGTGTGAGAAATGGAAGATCCTTGTTTAAGTACAAGGTTTATAGCCCCTATTTAATGTATATCCTTTTTTTAAATAGATATCTTTGATACTGATAGGATGAGAATCTTGATTTTTAGGTGAGTTTTATGTGGTAAAAAAATAGTGCTAAGAATGTTTAAGACCAGTTTCACAAATTGTGGAGGGTTTCTTTTTGAGATTCTTAAAATTTCTTGAAAATATCAACTGTTCAAATATTAGCTTGTCTTTTGTTTCACCAGGTAGTCAGAACTATTTAAAATGTTGGCTGAAGCTGCCTTAATGCACCAAAATAACAGTTGTCAAGACTGTTCACAATCATTTATGGCTGTACACTGTTTTGAGTGTGTAAATGTGAAGTTGTTATAGAGCTGCAAACTCAAATGACAGTATCTTGCTACTGCTTTAGGAAGAGTGGTTGTGTTCCTTGTCATGTGTGCAGAAATACTGTATAGTGGATTTTGAGTGTGACAAATAAAACTGAAAGTTGACCACGTTAGGTTATGTCTGTGACAATCGTAAGATAGGATTGGATGGTAATTAATTTTTTTCCCAAGATCATGAATTCATACTATTTCGGTCCATTTCTGAAAAAAACAAAATCATAGGTTAATACATGGGAGCACTGCACTATATTTAAAATGTTTAAACTGTTGAAATTGGGACCACTGGTTTCTGGGAAAAAAGCAACAGGTTCCAGTGCTTTGTGTTTTGATAACCATGGACTCAAATTTCAGTTTTGTTTGTTACGTCTTTTTGTGATTGTTAAATGATCAGTGGGAAGGATTGTCTTCCAGTAACCATGTGGAAAATATGTCTTCCTGAATTACATAGCATCTCACATTACAGGTTCTCTCTGTGAAACTCATAGGTAGCCACACAATGAAAAAGGCCCTGCTGACTGCTTATACGCTTTTTTCACAAAATCAAAATAAAGTCTGGTTAATTGGAAAACTGTTTTCATTTCTTTTATTAAGCTAATATTCTTCATGTCAGCTAATAGCTAGCCAGGGCTGTTTATGAAAACATTACTTATGATTGGAGATTTCACACCGTCTTTGTTCATTTTTATTGTTTCATATTGTACTTTTTAACTTTAGGCATTGGGTGAGTTTTCTGTTGTGCTATAACACATTTCTAGAAACTGTAGGACTTAACACAAATTTATGATCTTCCAGCCAGAAATGCGGTGGCCTTAATTATTTTTTCTGCTTCAAGTCTGATGGGCTGAAAACTAAAGCATTGATTGGAGAATCTGCTTCCAGGTTTGTTCAGATTGTTGGCAGAATTTCATTCCATGGTACAACAGGACCTGTTTCCTTTCTGCGTGTGGGCTAGGCATTACAGCTTCAAGAAGCCACTGGCATTCCCTGGCACATGACTCCCTTTATCTTCAAAGCTGGCATGGAGTTCACGCTTGGGATTTCTCCTTCCTCTTGCACCACTTCTCTGACTCTCCAGCTAACTCTTCTGCCTTCCTCTTCCAGTTGTAAGGGTCCATGTGATAATAAAGTTTAGCCCACCTAGATACTGTTGGATATCTCCCCACTTCAAGGTCAACTCATTAACAACTTTAACTCCATATATAAAATCTCTTGCAAAATCACATCACATGTTCATAGATATGCTGTGTCATCTTGGAGGACATCTTGGAGTGCTTCACAGAGGTATTCAGAAGTGGAAGGCAAGTCTTTGCTGCTGCCTGTTGTAACCTTTTGGCTCTTAAACCCCTACTCCCTAGGTATGCTCCTGGGTGCCCATAGCTCTTTAACTGGTAAGGCAGAGTGAAAAGAGGTTAGTCTCAGGGAGTGTGCTGTGGAGACCTTGTCTCTTCCTGGCTTTCTGTCTGTCCTTGCTGGCTGCCTTGAGGTGAGCAGCTTCCTCTGCTCAGCATTCCCACTGGATGTGCTGCCTCATCACATGCCCAGGAGCAATAGCACCAAGTACCCATGGACTGAAACATCGGAAATTGTGAGCTGAAGCAAACCTCTCCAAGTTGATGATCACTGGTATTTTATCACAGAGACAGAACGCTAACACGCTGTACATTAACTTTTGAGTGAGCCAGTATAGCCTTTGTTAGGATCAAGAGCCTTTGTGTGCTATCTTTTAATATAAAATTAAAGTAAAAAGTCTCTTCATTGAGTATTTGTGCCAGATTGTTTTCTCAGAGACAGACAACATTGGCTCGGGCATCACTGAAGTCTTACAGTGTTTACATTTGAAAACATTGCATATCAATAACATTTGGTTTGAATCCTTCGATTTTGAGAATGTGGCTTGTATTAGTGAACTAGAAACAAAACCATATTAAGTACGGATATGCGATAGAAGCAGTTTTTCTGAAAACCTATACTATATCCATAATTAGGCAATAGTTTATATTAGGCCAAATGGTTTATACTGTAAAAATATTTGATTTTAAAAACATTTTTCTGTGTCTATGTAAGTTATATACCAGTCGTTCTTTTAAGATAATTAATTTTTTAAAATGTCTTTTTCATTTTCAGCATCTTCCAAACTCCAGAGAAGGCCGGGCACAACAGTAACACTAACATAGTATTAAGCATTTAAGAACACTTGTTATTACAACAATGCTGTGAAGTAGACAAGTATTTTTAGCTCGATTGTACTAATGAGGAAATTGAGACCCAAGAAACTTGAGTCACTGAATTAGAACAGAAACCCTGTGGTGAGTGAAAGGGCATGGATCAGACCTAGTTCAGTTCAGTTTTGTCACAGTGCTGCTTAGAATTTAAAAGCTTTGTTGTTTGGTGAAGTCATGCTATGTTTAGGTCTAGAACATCCCCCAAAGCCTCCTGTGTTCAGAGATGGGGCTTTGGGAAGTGATTCGATCATGGGGCACTATAGCTGGCTTGCTGTTAGGAGGGGCCTGCTGAGAGGCAGGACCCTGGGGTGACCTGGGAGGATGTATCTCCCTTCTCTGCTTCCTGGCTGGCATGAAGTGAGCAGCATTCTTCCCCCAGGCTGTCCGTCATTCCCTTCTTACCTTGGAGCCAACTATGGACTGAATCCTCTAAAGCATGTGAGCCAAAATAAACCTCTGGTTTAATTTGTGTATGTTGGCTATTTTTGTCCCAGCTGTGAGAAGAGAAAGTGACTGAGACGTGGCCCAAATGATACATGGTTCAGTGTTTCTCTTTACGGGATTATCTCGGGAAAAGCTTCTGTTGAACATGGCCTGTCTGACTCACTTCTTTGCTCCTAGGCCAGTGCTGGTGAACCTTTCAAGAGCTTTCGGTGAGAATAGTCCCCTGCCACATGGGTGCCAGGGCTTCACCACCACTGCCCTGGGCTATACTTCTATCAGTGCCTGCTGTAACAGGTCCTGGCCTAGAAGGAATCCTGTCATTGCCTGCTGTATGGCAAATTTAATTTAGGACTTCCAAGCAGAAATAACTTACCAGAATTTTGCATTAGCCTTAGTAGCACTTTCCAAAAAAGCCTCACAGTCATTTCATTCCCTCATTCTGCTCCTTACGTAAGCTCTGTATGTAATCAGGCATCAAAACATGATGCTTCCTTTGTCTCTGCTGTGGTTTCTGTACTATGTATTTCTGATGTTGCTGTCTTCAGTTAAAGTCCTTTGCTGAGAATATTGAAAAAATAGTCTCTTAATCTATTATCCACATTGCTGTGATTGTCTCTCTGCTTCCCAGATGGCTGGCATTTCTCTCCTGCTTAACACTTCAGTGGCTTTCCATGCTAGAAGAAAAAGTTCAGGCGTACCCTGTGTCATCCTAGCAAGCACCCATTTCCCACCAGACTCACTGCACTCCATTTGCCGTGAGTCTCTTCTGTCACCCATAGGCAGAGCCTGGATTTTCCGTCTCTGTGTCTTCAGAATGAAGCTGCTCCGTAGCCCCTTTTGGAACTTGCAAAAGTATAGTCTCAAATTATAAAGGATGAAGCTATAGGAACAAATTCCATTATACTGTACCTTTAAAAGCCAGAATCACCCTGCTTAAAGAACTTAATGCAGTTCTTCAGTTTTTCAGTCGAAATAAAACTACAATTTAAAAAGTTGGATTCATATGTAGAATTTATCTCATTGATGTGCAGTGCATATCACGTAAAAATATAATAAACGTTACCTACAGCTCTGCTTTTTAATTTATATTTACTTTGGTGAAATGAAAGCACATATAAATTGTATTTAAACAGGTTTTTGAACATAAAATAATTTTTCTTATTTTAGGCACCAAGATGGTTTAAAGTAATACAGAATGTGTATGTGTGTGTGTTAGACTTTAAATGTTTTTAGACATTTCTTAAAACATTGGTTGAATTTAGGAATAAGTTATTTTTCAGCACACTATTCCCCGAAACAACTGACTTTGAACAGCATTTACCCAGTTTGATTTTTGTGATGAAGCAAAAGGACACTTATACCTATAAAAATATCAAAGACTGAGCCATAATTATTTTAAGATGGCACCTTAAATTTGAGTACTTAATAGACCTGGGCCACATTTGCTGTTGAGAATTAGCCCAAATTTAATTGTGGCACAACATCTAGAAATTACTATCAAAGCAAGTCAGCCATCTGCACAGCTGAGTAAGTGCCAGGAGGCATGATTGCTAAGCTGAGATACTGCTCATTAAGCAAGTGCTCCAGGATGAACACACGCTTTTTCACATTCTCCTGAACCAGCAGTGAAATAAACATGGAGAGACAAACTTTTAGGCGTAAAACCCACATTAAATGTTGAAGTTTTGTGTTCGTTCTTCTCTTCTGCATTCCCAAAGTTTCCAGAGACTCCATCTCCTTTTGACTGAACTGCTGCGAGGCAGGGTCAGGTGGTAGACTCCTCATCACTCACACAGGCCTTCCCTTCAGGTCCTGACCTTCCTAGGGGGACCATCCTTGGTGCCTGGGGGGAAAATGACAGACACTGTGACATAGAGCCAAGGGGGCACCGAGGAGAGTTGTGGAAAAGTTACCTAGTTTATTTTCATGTGCCTTTAAGATGTTCAAAATATGCTCGGTATAGAAACGTAAGAGGCACAGAAAAGACACAGGTCATTTCATATCTGATTTACTTTTCCTGAATTTCAGTAAGGTCAGTAGACTTCCCTTAGGACTAATGCACACAACATGTATTAAGTGTTTAGAACCCATGTTTTAACAAAATCAAACCACTTACTTGAAGTCTAGATGTTCAATGAGGACGTATCCATCTACAGAAATAAAAAATACTGTTAATAATTTGAGGTTTTTTAAAGAAAATGCTTTAACCTTTTCTAAAAAATAATAGAAATTTCATAGTAAGTTAATATTTATCAAAAGGCAAATACTCACATTTGCCTTTTGAGTTGCGACATATCACTAGATTTTGATCAGTGGTGTCAATGACTTCCAGTTCTTCCCCAGGAGTTACTGGCAAATCGAATATTCCATTTCTTGAATTACTGGAACATACCACTGCTCTGTTGATGATGGTAATTTCTTTGTTATACTGAAATGAGAAGTTACTAATTACCATGCTTACATAGTAGTTACTTTTCACTGTAACAAAGGTAATGGAGAATATCATAGTAACCTCAAAAAAAAAAAAGAAAAACCTTAAGATAGTACTTAATAACACCTGAGAGAATACAGAATAACAGGAAGGCACATGAAAGTCACTTAAGAAAATAGATCCTGTAATCATATATTTGGTATGATTATATTTTCAAAATATTTTCACATGCATTTTGTAATTGTACTAAAGTGAATCCTGGTGGATAAGAGAGCTACAACATGGGTATAAATTAAGTATGATGTATAGTATGTTGACTCTCACAGTAATAAAATTACCTGTAAACTTAGGAAAAGGAAAATTTAAAAAGAAATAAAGCCCTCTGTTTGTTCTTTAGTTTATAATGGTCTTAGAGACCGATCACTTGTAGAGGTCACTCTCCACCTTTCCAGTGAACTTGTATGATAATGCTTTACAGGTGAGAATTCTCCATTTATAGTCAAAGTGCATTTGTGAAAAAACTGATAATACAATTTCTGACAGTACAGAGAAATTTTTTTCTATATGATAAACTAGCTGCCTTGTACATCCATAGGTACCTTACCTTCTGCTGTATTGAAATCTGTTGACCAGAAGAAAAAAAATTCAGAACATGTAGCTTAGATTACAGGTGTCTATCCCACCAAATTAGGGTGACCAAATATCTTTCTTTGCCAGGACAGTCTGTGTTTATAATAACGTGTCCATTTACAAATATTTATGATTAAGAGTGCCTCCTGGGCTGGGGATGTTGCCCAGTGGGAGAGCACTTGCCTAGGATGCACAAGGTCCTGGGTTTAATCTCTAGTACTGCTTTAAAAAAATTCTTCCACTCTCTTAAGTATTCTGATTTTAGATGATGAATTACAAGACCACTGTTACAATACCAAGAGGAGGGGCTGGGGATTTAGCTAGCGGCAAAAGCGCCTGCCTGGCAAGCGCAAGGTCGTGAGTTCGGTTCCCAGTACCGGAGAAAAACTAAAAAAAACTAAAAAAAAAAAAAAAAACAAAACCAAGAGGTATAATCTACAAGGTATTACCCCTCCCCCCATAGTTTAATGGCTGTTATTCCTCTCTCAGGACATTGTTTACTATGAAACCACAGAGATTGCTCCAGATACAAATTAGATCAGGTCACATTCCTGTTTATAAGGTTCTGGTAATTATTGCTTTTAGGATAAGATCCACATTTCTTAGCTTAACATTCAAAGTCCTTTAAATACTGTCATTCCCCAACCGTCCATCTCTTTCCCCTTTATTGAAACATGAAACTGTGGTAATCATTCAGATACACCATATAATTTTCTTATTGCCATGCCTTAGCTTGTGCTGTTTTTTCCTGCTTGTATTCCCTCACTTCTTGACCACCTTTTGTAATATATATATGTGGGGGAATCGAATTTCTGCCCCATATAAAACCAAAACTTCAATGAGGGTAAAAAGTACTAGGTAGAATGTAGGACTCTTTTCACCAAGTAGTTGCTACACTATTGTTTTTCACCTAATTAAGTAACATCACAGTTTGGAGTAGGTGATCTCAGATCAGAGGATTACTCTAGACACAGTAACCCTGATCGGCTTTGCTCCAAGCAGGATTATGGTGTTTATGAGAGATTTATTGGACATTGCTATTTTATTTCAGTTCAGAAGTTATGGATGTTTACAGGTGTTAGTCTTATTCTGCTCTGCAGGTGAACGTGAAGATAAATAAGACAACCCTTTTTCTTTACGACCTTACAGTTTTAACATGATGAACCTGTAATTGCAGTGAGCTGGAGGGTATTGTGGTGTACAGGTGCATTAAAGAAGAGTAATTTCTTTCATCGGGAAATTTAGGCAAGCTTTCTTGGAAAGACAAGATAGCTCAACTGGATCTTAAATTGGAGAGAGAAACAAGTGTGTACCAGGTAGAGCAGATCAAGTGGACACTGAGAGGAATGAAATAGCAAGACAAAGACAGAGATGGTAGTTCATTTTAGGGACAGAAGTGTGAACAGAGCTTAAGTTGCCAGAGCACAGGGTATAAAGATGGAGTGGCAGAAGGTAAAACTGGAAAGATAAGCAGAGATCATGACACAGCTCTATATGCCATCTCAAGAAACCCAGTTTGCAGTGGGGAACTTCTGAAAGATTTTAGGGACTTTAGACAAATTTTATAAGCAGGCTGCACACTGTCTCAATCCAGTGTCTGGCACATGGATTAGTATTAAAATATGCTTGTTAATAAATCCTCACTGACAATATGTGTATGAATGAGGAATCATCATTTGAACTTTAGAGTAATGGAAAAATCCTCCATGGACTCTTAATGACACAATAAGATGTCAGAGAGTTTCAGATGCTGCTTCACTCACTCATCACTGATGTGTTTAGTCATTCATTCACTGAATACTAAGTGTCCAGTTTTATGTTTGGAACTGGGGAGTAAACTTGTTAAAGACAGGATCACTTTCCAAAAAGACTCCAGATTTAGTATGGCCATGTGCGCTCTAATATAGCTGTTTAGTGTTATAAAAGATGTGGATAGTAGACACATAAAAGTGTGCTGAGGGTGTAACTACATGGAAGAGCTAGGAAAGAGTGGCTGACCTTTGAGTAGAACCATAAAGAACTCTTAGAAATTTTCCTAGGCAGACACAATAGGACACAGAAAGGGATTGTCAGTATAGAAATGTAGCAGGAAAAAAACCAAAGTATCTTCATGACAAACTTACAAGATCTTAAAAAATGGAATTTGTTAGCTATTAATATTGCTAACTTACACCTTCAATGGGGAACATACCTGAAATCGTTGTCTAAAAAGCTTTTCTTCTCTTACTCTATTCTTTTCTAAGTAGTTTTGCTTCTTGGTTCTGAAGAAATTTCTAGGAGAAAAACTGGCAAGAAATACACAGATGTGGTTAAGTATACTATAATAAAATCTTTACATTTCCAAATATACATTCTGTTTAAGGATAAACTCAGGTATAATTTTGTGTATAACTATATAAAAGCACTTACCTAAATGTATATATACATTTATACATGTGTGTGTAAACACATACATCCCTCCATTATGTCTAATTGTCAAAAAAACTGGAAAAAGGGTAAGTAATACCAATTAATTTTTTTGCCAGTTGAAAAAATGTATATATAGTATATGTGTCTGTGTGATTCTGGTGCTTGTGTATGCTAGGTAAGCCCCTCACCGCTGAGCTACACCCCGAGTCTTATAATGTGTGTATGTACACATCAAACCCAGAGCCTCACACATGTGAAGCGTGTATTTTACCACTAGAACCCTAAAATTTTTGATAGCGAGATAACTTGGAATAAATTCAAATTGGTAGAAGATGGTTAATAAGTATAGGAGTGCAGTTGAATAGGAAGAATAACTTTTAATGCTCTGTAGCACAGCGTAGCTGATAATGACTAATCATATATTTCAAAATAGCTACTAGAAAGGATTTTTAATGTTCCCAACGTAAATGATGAGTACTTGAGATGAGGGGTATGCTGCTTACCCTAATCTGATAATTATACTTGTATACGTATATTGAAATGTGGCACTGTGCCCCAAAAGTATATGCAGTTGTGTCAAAAACTAAAGATCAGATCAGTTAAACAAGAAACTTCTCTGAGACTTCTCTGAACTCAGAATAATAATTAACTTATTCTTTAAAAAATATGGGAATTTATGAATCTTCCCACACTCACTGTCAGATTGTTTAGTGGAATCAGAAACAGTGAGCATGGGGCTTATGTTTTGTGGTTTTCCTAATTTTCAAGCACAGTCAAGGAATCACACATCTACATAGTTCAATCAAATAATTGTCCCGTTTCCTAAACGAGTTCAGAGATGGATAAATTCAGAAAACACAGCTAGATGCCACAAAATGTGCTACTGCACATGAAAGTGGATGAACTTGCAGCAGAAGCCAATTACCCTGCGCCTCGTCCTCTGCCCTCCCTTCTGCTTTTCACATAGGGCTTGGTTCTGTTGTGTAACAGTTTCATGTGTTGACAAAAGAAAAAATGTCAACGACGTCCTATTGGTTTCATTCAGAAGGGAATTCTACATCTAATTACTGCCACATTTCAGATTATCAGCACTTCTTGTCTGAGATACCATCTTATTCTTGCCACCCTCCTTTTAAAAACCAACGTGCACACCTGCTTTCAGGGCCATCTTCCTGAAATTTAACCATGCCGCTCTTTTGCTTAAAACCTTTCAATGTTTCTCTGTTGCCTACGTGAAAAGCCCAAATCTATTAGCACTGTACATGAGCATTTTATAGTTTGCCCCACTCTACCTTTCCAGCTTTGTAAGATGCCCATTTCCCTGTACAGACAACATCCACATGGGTCATCTGAGGAAGCAGGCTGTCCTTTTCATGCCTTTAGATGCACTTCCTATGTTCTCTTAAACATGACCTCATCTTTGATTAATGAAGGCATAATAAAAGAATTGCAGTGATACATAAAGCATTTCTTATTGCTAGAATAAGTAATGGTAGAAATCATTAAAAAGAATAAAAGACCACATGAACATTGATATATCAACTCAACAGGAATAATGGTGCCCTAGCTATTGCGTTTTCAAATTTACTCAATTGACAGCAAAAATATGCTATTACGTCAGTTTAACAAAAAACACTAGAAAATTGTTTTCTAAGAAGGCTTATTTGTGGCCATCTGTATATTAAAAAGCTTATTACGGGGGAGGTCAACATTTTACTGGAACTTCGCCTTGTAATTTTGTTTTGCTGTGCTGTGTGTACGTGTGTGAAAGTATGAAGTTCAAGGTAAAAGGTGGATTTTCTATATTGTATATACATTTTGGACAAAGAAATCACTGCAAATCTAAATACGAACTTGAAAAGCCATTTTATGCCATCCTCTGAGTTTAAATTTGATAGTGACTGCCTGATTTCTTTTGAGGTGTCCAAGTAAGACTTTTCTAGATAGATTTCCTAGAGTAGACAGACTGCAGTGTTCATGGCTATTTATTAAGGATTTCTCCAAAACATTTGTTCAAAAGCAAGGCCTGCAGCTCCTGCCCTACACCCTAGCAACTCTGAAGATTGGCACAGAGCACTAGGTACGCATCTGAGTCAGTGGAAACATGCCATGCCCAGAAGCCAGCTGGGAACTTGGGTCACGTGAATGAAAGATCTTGACATGAAAAGCATTTGCTTTAAACACTAATTGGAATTGTATTTTAGTGAAATCATTCTTACTGTGTGACACCCAGTTTCTCTTTTTCTAAAGCTTTCATATAAATTCTAATGTTTTATTTAACTTGTAATAGTAGAAGACTTCTTATGCCTAAAGGAAGAGTAGAAGCTTTTCATTTGATTAGTGCTACTTGAAAATTTTTCTTACTCCCCATCCACCAAGAGAAGAAATAAGAGGAGGGAAATTTTGTATCATTGTCATTTTAAAAAATTCTATTGGTATATGTCTGTGATACCTAATATGTTCACCACGGGAATCACACATATACATAGCACATTTTGATATGTTTTATTTCCCCTTCCTCTCCCCCCTTCCGGCCTCCCCACATCCCAAGATCCCCTTCTCATATCCACAAAGTCTGTCTTCCTGTCTCCTATCATCTGCCATATCCTCTCCTCTTAACTGCACTGTGATGTAGGTATTGTTCTCACTTTTGTAGATAGGAACCCAAGAATCATATTTAATGACTGGCCTAAGGTTACACAGCTAGTGAAGTACAGTTTTAAATTATAACAGAGAAACTGTAATGTAAATGCACCTGTGTTCCTACCTTTCTGATCCTTTAGGACTGTTTTTGTCTTTTTTTCTTCTTGGCATAAGAAAATTGGGCCTCCAAGTTTTCGTTTTATCTTTGTCACTGAAGAGAAAAGTGTTTGAGCAAGTAAATTTTTTTTTTTTTTTTTGAGCAAGAAAATTAAAACTGAACTATTAAACATTCATGGAATCAACTTTCTGGGCAGTTATTTTACAAAAAGTTTAAAACGTCTAGAAATATAGTTTGACAGTCTATGGCAAGGCCATATAGTAAATATTAAATATATTATATAGTGTTAAATGTGAAAATATTTCTGATAGGAGTCATAAAATTGGCAAATTAATTGCATTTAGAATGAATGAGTCAGGAGGAGATGCAACATGGCTGAATAGAGGAGGAATCACATCTGAGAGACTCAGAGAAGATCAACTAAAAACCCAGGTAAATGGAAGAAGAGGAGGGGCACAGGCCCTAGGACAGAAAATCATTTTGAAAGAAGATATTTGTAGATCAAACAAAACAGCAAGATAGGAGTTAAAAAAAGAAGCCATGTCTGCCAGGGCCCCACCCTTGGCAAACTGGAAACAGCCATCTTGAGAACTTCCCAGATAGCCAGAGAAAACCAAGTCATGGCACAGACTAGCCTTCCTGGATACTTGGGGTATACGGGCCCTTTCATGCCATCATTCCCTTTCCAAATACTGAGGAAGCTGCAACACTGCAGGATTCTCACCAGCATCCACCAAGGACATCAGAATCTCCCTCCCCACCTGCCTAACCTCAGGCACTGAGGAGATCACCGAATGGTGACAACTGAGTCCACAGATTAACTAGACAAAAATAAATCAAAACGGAAATATCAGAGTTGAACCAAACCTTTGAACAAATGGACTTCATAGATATCTACAGTGTTCCACCTAACAACAACAGAACCCACATTCTATTCAGCAGCACATGGGACTTTCTCCAAAATACATCCTATACTAGCCCACAGAACATGCTAAAATAAATGCAAAGGAATAGAAATTATGCATATCATCAGACCACAGCACAGTGAAACGAGAAGTCAACAGCAAAAAACACCACAAAAATTATGCAAAAACTGAGAAGTTAAATAATACCCTCTTGAATAATTAACAGTTCACAGATGAAAGTAAAGGAAAAGGCAGTTCCTTCAATCAAATGATAATGATAATGCCAGTACAAAATACTGAACCTAGAGACACAACGAAAGCAGTCCTAAGAGGGAAATTTATAGCAGTGAATTTCCACATCAAGAAAACAAAGTGAGTTCAAATAAATGACTCAGTGATGTACCTCAAGGTTCTAGAAAAGCGAAAATGAACTCAAAGCTAGTATGTGGAAGGAAATTTTGAAAAGATCAAAGCAAAAATTAAAGACCAAAAATAATACAAAGGATCAGCAAAAAGGTGACTCTTTGAAAGATTACCCAAATCCATGCAATTAGAAATGCAAAGATATAAATAACAATAAATTCTGCAGAAATTGAGATCATTGGCAATTACTTTGAGAACCTGTACTCTAGTGCAATGGGAAATTCAGAAGAAATGGATAGATTCATAGATACACATGAACTACCAAAGCTGAATCAAGAAGATGAAACAGTCCTGAATAATTCAAAATCAGTCAATGAAATTGAAGAAATACTAAAAACTACCAACTATGAAAAGCCCAGTCCTGATCGATTCACAGCCAAATTATAGAGAACTTTAGAGAAGACCTAATGCCAACACTCAGCAAACTCTTTAATTCAATCAGAAGGGAAGCAGTACTTCCAAAGTCATTCTTGAAAGCAAGAATTACCCTGATATCAAACCCAGAAAAAGGATCCAACCCAAAAGGAGAACTACAGGCCAATCTCCCTAATGAACATAGATGCAAAAATCCTCAATAAACTATTGGCAAACAGAATACAGGAAATCATCAAGAAGATTATACACCATGAACAAGTAGGATTCACTCCAGGGATACAAGAATGGCTGAACATATACAAATCAATAAATGTAATACACCACATTAACAGAAGCAAGGATCAAAAGCACATGGTTATCTCAATAGATGCAGAAAAGGCATTTGACAAAATCCAAAATTTGTTCATGGTAAAAACCCTGAAGAAAATTGAAATAGAAAGTATTCATTTCAATCTGATGTAAGTCATCTATGACAAACCAAATGGGCAACATCATACTAAATGGAGAAAATCTGAAAGCTTTCCCTCTAAAATCAGGATCAAGACAAGGATAGCTACTATCACCACTCCTGTTCAATATAGCTTTTGAAACATTAGCCAGAACAATTGAACAAGAACATGGATAGGAAATGAAGAAGTTAAACCATCATTATTAGCTGAAGATATGATCATCAATTTAGAAGACCCCAAAAACTCCACCAAAAGACTCCTAGAATAAATAACCAAATTCAGTAGTGTGATAGTATACAAAGTCAGTATTCAAAAATCAGTAGCATTCCTGTACACCAATAATAAACTCACCAAGAGAGAAGTTAGGGAAATAACACCTTTCACAATAGCATAAGAAAAGTGAAATATTTAGGAATTGACCTAACCAAGGTAGTGAAAGACCTCTAAATAAAAACTATAGTACTCTGAATAAGGAGACTGAAAAGGATACCAGAAAATGGAAAGATATCCCTAGTTCCTGGGTAGGAAAAACCAATATAGTAAAAAGGGCCACACTTCCAAAATTGTTATACAGATTTAATGTAATCTCAAAACACCAACAGCATTCCTCACAGAATTAGCGAAAACAGTTCTAAAATTCATATGGGACCAGAGGAAACCTAGACTAACAAAAGCAATTCTGGGCAACAGGGGCAAGGCAGGGACATTACAATATCAGACTTCAAGATATCTTATAGCACAGTACTGGAAAAAAAACCCATTGGATCAATGGAACAGAATAGAGGATACAGGAAAAACTCCAGGCATACTCAGCTACCCTATCTTTTACAAAGGGGCCCAAAACCTTTGCTGGAGGAAAAATAGCCTCTTTAACAAATGGTGCTGGAAAACTGGCTTTCCACATGCTGAAAATTGAACCAAGACCCATATCTCTCGCAATGCATTAAACTAAAATCAAAATGGATTAAAGATCTAAATATTAAAACCAATAATTTACTGGAATTTATAATAGGTAAAACTCTTGAAGACAGGTGTATACAAGGACTTTTTAAACAGGAAATATTACAAAGACTCAACAAATGTGATCACATCAAGTTAAAAGCTTGTGAATAGAAAAGGAAACATGAAAAGAATAAAGAGACAACATGCAGAATGGGAAGAAATTTTTCCAGCTACTCTTGAGATAGAAGACTAATATCTAGAATATATAAATAATACCATCTTATTAAAAATTCTTAAAGTAGGTATTGATGATCTGGATTTTCACAGGATCCATTGTGATTTCACCCTTTTCATTCCTAATTGCATTATGTTGAATCTTTTCCTTTTTTTTTTTTTTTTTTTTTTGGTTTTTTTCCTTTACCAGGAATCGAACTCATGACCTCACACTTGCCAGGCAGGCGCTGTGCCACTGAGCTAAATCCCCAGCCCCAAACTGAATCTTTTCTTTCTGTTTTTGGATAAAGTTGGCTAAAGGCTTATCAATTTTATTTAATCTTTCAAAGAACAAACTCTTCATTGATTCTTTACATTGTTTTCTTATACTCAATTGTGTTAATTTCTGCTCTGATCTTTATAATTTCTCCCCTCATACAATCTTTGGGTTTGACTTGTTCTTCTTTTTTATAGAAGTCTAAGGTGCAACATTAAGTTGTTCATTTGTGCTCTTTCTGTTTTCCTGATGAAAATTCACTGCTATCAATTTCTCTCTTAGGACTTCCTTCATTGCAGCCCAGAAATTCCACCAAGTTGTATCAGCATTATCATTTAATTATAGATACTGCTTAATTTCATCCGTGATCCATTGGTTTTTCAGGAGGGTGTTATTTAATTTCCATGTATTTATGGACGTTTTGTGGTTTATTTTGCCACTTATTTCTAATTTCACTGCACTATGGTTAGATAATATGCATAATCTCAATTTTTTCACATTTACTTAAGCATGTTCTGAAGAACATCCCATGCGCAGCTGAGAAGAATGTATATTCTGATGTTGTGGGGTGGAACATTCTGTAGACATCTGTTAAGTCCATTTGTTCATGTGTTTGGTTCAGTTCTGATATTTCTTTGTTGATTTTTTTGTCTAGTTGATCTACCTATTTATGACAGTGAGGTATTAAGTTTCCCCATCACAATTGTGTTAATACTTATTTGATTTTTCATGTCCATTGGTATTTGTTTTATGTCTAGGATATATAAGGAACTGAAAGAAATCAGATCCCTCAAATTCAAAGATCCAATCCAAAAATGGGCTTTTGAGATGAATACACACTTCTTGGAAGTACAAACGGCAAATAAATATATGAAGAAGTGTTCAACATTATTGGTCATTCGAGAGATGCAAATTAAACCAACACTGAGATTCCATCTCACTCTAGAAAGAATGGCTGTCATCAAGAAGTCAACCAATAACAAATGCTGGTGGGGCTGTGGGGAAAAAGGAACACTTCTCCGCTGTTGGTGGGAGTGTGGACTGATGCAATCACTGTGGAAATCAGCGTGGAGATTCCTCTAAAAATTAAAGCTAGAGGTTCCATTTGAATCAGCTATTCCCCTTGTAGGTATCTTACCAAAAGAGTTAAGTCATCATACCACAGTGATCCATGTATACTCACGTTTATAGAAGCACAGTTTATAATTTCTGAATCTTGGAAACAGTCCATATGTCCATCAACAGATGAATGAATAAAGAAAAGTGGTATTTATATACAATGGAGGACTACTCTGCCAAGACGAAGGATAAACTTGAGGTATTTTTAGGTAATTGGATGTACCTTGAGACTATAATCTTAAGTGAAATAAATCATACACACAAATGAAATATTGCATTGTTTCTTGTGTGAGAAACCCAATGTATATATCAACAGCAAAATGTAGGATAGATATGAGGAAGTAGGAAGAACTTTTTCAAATAGGAAATGAAACAAGAGTCAGGGGAGGTGGGAGGGAAGCGAAATGGAATTTAAAGCCAAAAAAGAATTGAAGAAATGAATGGAAATAGACCTGCAAATGAGAGCACACATGTTTGTGATACATACTGAATTCATTCACTGTGGGTAATTGGTATAAGTACCCACACATCTTCGTACATTGCCTTCCCTCCTCTTGTCCCCCTCCCAATACAGTATCTCTTAGTCTCTTTCCCATTCGCCAATGACCTGTCCCTATTTTCTAGGGTCTGTCTTGGAGTTTGCTCTTTGATTTATTTATCCCTTGAGTTTCTCATATATATTTAAGCTTCTGTGTCAGATTTATTTCACATTATGGATTCAAGGTGCATCCACTTTCCTACAAATGACTCGAGTTTATCCTTCCTTATAACAAAGTAGTGCTTCCTTATGTATAAACACCACATTTTTGTTATCCATTCTTCTGTTATTCTATATATAGGTCACTTCCAAGATTTAACTATTATTAAGTTCTGCTGAGTCCTGCTTTGTTAATTAATTTAACGAACTATGTTTTGTTATCAGGCCCCGTGAGACAGTTCTAAAGTGCTGTTCCCTACATCAGGGAGTTTTGTGTTAGAGGAGAAGCCAGTGAAAAACATGATTGCTATTACGGGGAAAGTGTTCTAATACAAAAGGGGCAGTGCACCCCAATTCATAGGTCAGAGAGTGCTTCCAGAGGAAAGCGAAATCTGAATTCAGTTTCAATAATAAAGGACAAAATAGCAAACCAGGCAAAAAGTATGGCAAGACATGTTACAGGGAGAGTCACTGTTCTGATCTTATTCTCACCTCTTTGCAGTGGAGCTCTCTACTACTTTAGATGAGAGTATTGACCTCCTCCCAGTACCCATACCCTCCAGCTACTTACTAAACACCCTGTTTTGAAGCAACTAAATTCCAATGTGTAATTATGCATTTATATTTTCATTCATGTATTTATTCAGGCAAGACTAGGAATTATAACTCTTTACTGCATTGTATTCAACATCTAGGAAGTGCCTGGCACATAGTACACGCTCAATAAATACTTGGTGAATGAATTAATGAACTTAGAACACATGCGAAAGTTTGGAAATGCTGGGGCACTTTTGAGTCCACCGAACTCCCAGTAGTGTAGGCCAAGAAGTTGCCAGGGGCTGGATCTCAAAGGACTCTCACGTCTTCCTCAGCCTTAGAGTGCTAGATAGCCACTATAGAGCTTTAAGCTGGTAGGGGGTGGGGGTTGGGCACTCTACATTCGCCCTGGAGAGTGAATGGAAGTGGCGGTAAAATGACCGCTTGGAGTGTTGCTTCAGTAATTCAGTTGAGAAGCAGCGAAGGCCTAAACTGACTGTACACTGGGGAAGGGCAGTAGGAATGGTTTGAGTGTTATTGTGGGGAGTGGTGGGGAGTTCCAGGCAGAAGAGGAGGCCAACGTATAGGGTTTTGATTTGGGCAACCATAATGACAGAAACAGTCACTAACGGAGAAACTGAAGAAAGGGACGAGATTTGGGTGGGAAGGCTCAATATCCTCGACTGAGATGGACACCGAGCTTCAGAGAATCATCCTGCAGGCTTACTGCAGCTCTGACCTCAAAACGTAAATTTTTGTATCATTGCCTTAATGAATGCGAGTGCTGGTGTTATGGTTTGTGTCTGCATGTCCCTCCACATCCTCATGCAGTCATGGGGCGGGCTTCTAGATTTATGATTGATCCATGATCCAATGCTAGGATTATGGGTGTGAGTGCTACACTTGCCCTGGGGTGGATAGTTTGTAGACAATGTAAGGGAGGGAAAGAGGCTTGCTCTTCCAGCTGCCGCTCCTCCCTTTTGCTCTTGCTGCTGTTGCTGTTTTCTGCCACCATGAACGATTACCTTGTGCCATGTGCCACCCTGCCTTGGAGCCAGCCAAGTATGGACTGAAACCTCCACAAACTGTGAGCTAAATAAACCTTTTCTTCCTTAATTTTGGGTGTCAGGTGTTTTGTCCCAGCAATGAGAGGAAAGTAACCAAGACACCTGGGTATAGATGAAGGAATTCAAGAAGCACAAGTAGAGGACAAGAAGAGAGTGGTCAGGCAGAGTCTCAGGAACACATATACTTAAGATATGAGTGACAGAATTAGACTTCACATACAAACACTTAGAAAAGCAGGCAAAGGAGAGGGATTAAAAAGTGAGGATAACATGGAAACCTAGGGAAAAATGTTTGTCCTTTAGAGGATGGCATAATCAAATTCTTAGGATATTATAAAGAAGCCGAGTAAGGTACTCCAAAGTAGCTACTGGATTTAGCAAAGGAGTTATTAATGACTACCAAAACCAAGCTCACTGGCTTACTGAGGGCAGAAATCACATTTCTGCAAAGAAAGATGGATTGAAGATGAGCTGGGGTGACCTTTACTTTCAGCCACTTAGTTGAGAGGAAAAGGACAGCTGGAAAAGGTAGCTAAAGATGGACAATGAGTAAGAATGGCTTCTTTTTTTTTTCTTTTAACAGATAATAGTTATTTAATTCTTGAAAACAGAAGTTCTGTCAAATAGTCCTTGCCATCCTGCACACTGCTTCCTCCCACAAAGGAGGTTATTAAAGAAATGTGCAGAAGTGAGGTTCAAAGAAAGAAACAACAGATTCCAAAGATCCATTGCCCCTCGCATCACTACCACTGTTGGATCCTTGGTGGTATTCCTCAATTCCCCTTGTACTGGAGGAAGTATCCTCTTTTCCTTCAGTCTTCAAGGGTCTGGAGAGAGGCTTCTTTGACCATATTTAATGGAACATCAGGAAATGGGTCACGTATCAGCAAGAATGACAGTATGGTAAATTGACTTACTTTGATTCTCCTTCAATTGTGTTCACGTCGTCGTAGATAATAACTTCCTGAGACCTAAGTTCTAGGATCAAGATGGAATCAAAATAGTCCATTATTAAGTATGTTTTATACAATGCCTGGCTTTTCAAATTATGCAATTAAAATTTAATTATTCAGCTTAATTGTCAAGGCTGTCCTATCAAAATCTTACTACTAGAGAAGCTAGAACAAAAAAGTTTTCTTTTGGGAAGAAGTCCAACTGACAGAGTAAAAAGAATAGATGCCTTAGTATGTCAGGCATATACACGTGTTTATATTAATTTGATTTCATGGAGAGTTCAGAAAATATGAGTTGCTGAAAGAATTGTTTTTAGATTAGTTCCCCTCTTTCTGTAACTGGAAAAAAGATTTATACTGCTAGAATATGAGAGGGCTTTTCTTAATTCCCAGCAGGAAAATAATTTAGTAGAATATTAACGTTTATTTTTCCTCCATTAAAATCTTTTATTTTAAACTATTGGAAAACCCTTTATAATATCCCTGCATAAGACTTAATCTGCCTTAGTGTACAATCATTTTTAGACACTCAGTTTACAATGTTCGTCTGCCTTGACATTTCATACAGAATTACATGGTTTTTGAGTATTTCACCATTTGAATGAATTTGAGACTTTTTGGCATAAGTATTCACAATTCAGATTCAATTCATAATTATTCATTGCCTTGATCATTTTCCTCCATACGTTTAAATTTGAATGGGGGTACAAGCAGATATTCCTTATTTGAAATGAAGTTTTGGAATTCAAATATTTTTGGATTTTAGAATATTTGCATGTATATAATGAGCTATCTTGGGAATGGGACCCAAATCTAAAGTAGAAAATCTGTTTTTTCATACACACTCCATACAGGTAGCCTAAAGGTAATTTTACACAGTATTTTTACTGTGCCTATGTTTTAGCTACAACCTATCATATTTGATCCAGTGTGGAATCCACTTATGACACTGTGTCAGCCTCAAAAACTTTTGGACCTTAGAGAATTTTGAATTTCAGGGTTTGAGGTTAGGGTTGCTCAAACCCAAGTCTCAGGGCTGGGGATTTAGCTCAGTGGCCAAAAGCGGCTGCCTGGCAAGTGCAAGGTCGTGAGTTCGGTTCCCGGTACCAGAGAAAAACCAAAAAAAAAAAAAAAAACAAAACAAAAAACCCAAGTCTCTCTGTGAGCTATAATAGGAACACATCTTTTAGAATAAGAACACATTCCTATTTCAGTTAGCTGTTATTATTTTTTAAATCCAGACTAAGGATATATTGAAAGATTTGCAATTATACCAGGCATATATAACCTTTGTTATTTACTTTTAAAAACTCTAAAATGTGGAATATAATATACATTTGAGTTGCCAAATCAAAATGAAATCAAAGTAGCTGCATGATTAGAGCTCATAAAAACTAATGAATAACAACACATGTTCCTCTTTTATCAACAAATTCAATGTTTGCACATGTACTGAGAATGTACTATACGTCCGACACTGGCCAATTTATACACTGTCATTTTAATAGTAAGGCAAACAATATTCCAAATACTTATTCTTGATTCAATTAGTGTGCAGGCTGCAACATGATCATATTCAATTTCTTATTCTTTATAAATTGACCTGGCTATCAAACCCATGAAGCATGTGGTATAATGCAAAAATGCTTGAGTTAGATGGTCCAAAAGGCTTGGATAAAAAACCCAGATTGCTTAAGTATGGATGTGGGTCCAAGACCCTTTCTGAAAAGGGATGATAGCATCTATTTCTCTGGGATTCTAAGAGGAAAGCAGCTACCCCAGCATGCGGTAAGTGGTAGGACTCTAGAAAGGTTTCTTAGCTTCTCAAAGTAACAAGTACTCTCGTGTGAAAGACTCTTTTTGGTTGTGATGGGCCTCTGTTTTCACTGAACTTGGGAACACAAGGATTCCATTTCTTTTTCCCTGCCCCTCAATAGACTAATACTGAGTACCTTTGGTCACCGAGAAGTAAATGTCACTTACGTAAATCAGGCAGTGAAACTGAAAATGCCCTGTAGGTTAACAAAAGACATGACAAGGTCAAGGACAAAGCCTTATTCAGTAAACAACATCGTGATAGCTAGGCATCCTAGTCCAGACCCTTTATGCAGCGATGTGAAACACACCTCCGTAGCTTTGCTGTGATCACCCCAACTTTCACTCCACCATCATCAAACCTATTCAAAATGTGCTTGTTTATCCCCATTGACTGTCTGTACCCCGTTCTTAACTAGGCAAATCAAGCTGCCCCACAGACCCAACCTTCTCCTTCCATAGAACCCTATTTCTGTCTGCTAACTTTTCAAGAGGCCAATCAGGTACATTCAGTGTGTGTAAGTATTGTGAGATAGAACAACCTACAGATGAATTTATGAAGACTCTCTGCAGACAGTGCATGCTGACTATGTTGGTTCAGGCAAAGGGGACTTCAGGGTGAAGTCCAGGTCAGGTGGGAATAAAAGATGATGAAATGCTAAATAGGCAAAGACATGTATGTGCTGCAGCTAGATCATCTGGCACTCTTCAGACCTCACTGTTAAGGCAATCACATGGAAAGAAGTGTGCTGTGTGTGTGTGTGTGTGTGTGTGTGTGTGTGTGTGTGTGTACCCTATGTATTTCAAGCTTTTAATTTAAATTCCTAGAGGTATGTTTGGAGCACCCACCATGGGTCAGGCTCTTGCACTCGGTAAGTAAAATGACCGGCCATAGTTTCTATCCTGAAATATCTTGGGATTTAATAAAAGAGACCAAGAATAAACTAATAGAGTGGCTCTGCTGTCATAGTCAGGGCTATGAATATAAACTTGTGTTCTGTTGGGCCTCTTGGTAGATCTAGAGCTAAGAAAACCTAGATTTAAAATCTCAAAATCTCTCTCTCTCTCTTTTTTTTTTGTCTTTTTGAGACAGGGTCTCACTATGCAGTTCAAGCTGGCCTTGAGCTCACTTTGTAGCCCAGGCTGGCCTCAAACTCTCAATGATCTTCCTGCCTCAGCCCCTCAAGTGCTGAGATTACAAGTGTGCACCACCACACCTGCCTAAAATCTCAAAATCTTGAAGCTTTGTAATTGAAAAGAACTTCAGAATACAATAGCATAGTTCCATCTCAATGTAGTGATGATCTTGGCAAATTATTTTACCACCCCATATCCTCACAAAATACAGATACATATCGACACATCTAAATCCATATGTGTACCAAAGAGACAGAAATGTCTCCAGAGATTACACAGTCTCCCCCTCTGTTGTATGTAGGAAGAAACTTCAAGTCTAAGTGTAAATGGAAGCAATGTGCACAAACTGATTACCTGGCTGAACTGAATCTAGAGTTCAGGTTCCCTGTGTCCTTCACTGCCAGTGAATGGGGCACCTCCTCCAACCCTGAGCACTAGCCTCCGTTACCTTGGAGGGCCTTTTCCACCGTTGAGACTTTGAGATGCACACACTGTTCCACTGAACAGTTCATCTCCCTGCTTTGCACATCCCTGCTTTCATGGAGACAAACTAAATGTGGAAGTGTAGCAAAACCACTAGAACTTGTAGAACCAAGAAACATGAAAAGACATAAGAATATAATGCTTCGCAGTGACAGTAGGGACAGATGCTGGCGATGAAATTTCTGTTCTAGACCTTACGTAAGACTTTCCCTTCACCCTGTTTACCCTTTGTCTCATCAATTTTTTTCACACAGGACCTCCTACTTTCTCATTTGCATCTATGGGTGTGGTTCACTCAAGATCTTTGGTTTTATTTCCGCTATCCCCTTTACTGCCCTCCTGGAAAGAAAGAGAAAAAGAGACTTTTACCTTAAATTTTCTTTTGACTTGATTGCCTTCATTTTAAATCTATCCTTTTCTTTTTTGAAAAATTGCTGCAGTCTCTTAAGTGCTTCTTTTCCATCTAAACTAAAGGGAATCAGAGGGCAAAATATATGGCATTTGAGATAGAAGGCTGTTGTATTAAATAGGCCCCAAAGCTTCAGTCTCGTTTCGAAAACACACCCCACTGAAGGAAGGGTGAAACGATGCTACCGTGCTTCTCTTTATTTAGATTTCGAATTAGCACCTTAATCAATTATGAAGGAAGAAATAACATTACAGGACACATTTCATCGACTCTAAGTAGCTCGATTTTTGCAGAGTTTATGGAGTAAATTCTTCCTTTCAGGGGAAATAACAGGAAATCACAAGTTACAAACTGTTGGTAATACTTTGTAGGAATTCCTGGCTCCTGAACGTCAAGTCACTGATTTTTAAATTCCCAAATACTAGAGTAATGGTGGCACCTTGACTGCCCAGTTGATGACTGAAATTCTCCCAAATATCCTTTCAAGATACGGGGTGGTGGGGAGAAGGAAGAGAGCGACATTCAGCGCCCCGCCCAGTAGGACAGGCTCAAGATCCACTCTTTTCCCTTCAACCCTTAAACGTCTCGCTTTCGACCGCTGCTGTCCCTCCTTTCCAGCATGTGCTCTCTGACTGAACTTAATGAGCAGCATCCACTTCAACAAAGATTGTTCTCCATAACAAATGACTACATTAGTCAAACCCAAATCCCAGTTTGCTTTACTAACTTGCCAAGACAAAGTTAACTTATAATCGCTGATGTGTTCACGGGCAGCAACTACAAAATCAAAGCAAGCTTTTTAAAAAGATGTTTATTTCTCCTTTCTTAATTCCTAACACAATATTAAATTTCTCTATTCTGGGAAATTGACATTTACTCAAAAACAAAATCAATGTAATTTAAAATTTCTGGCTTATGATTGTACATAACTACAAATATCATGTCAGTTATAATGTAAGTTATAATGTAATTGCTTATCACCACTTTCTCTGTGAACCATCCCGAAAGGACAGCAGTGGGTTAGAGGTTGTTTCTTAAGCTCTGGTCTTCTAGACAAACAGGCAATTTCATTGGACTACAAAGCCAAGAAAGAGAAACTCACTCTATTTGGGGAGGATTGCTCTTTGTTTTGTAGACATCCTCATACATTTCTTCACTACTTTCTTCTGAAACTAAAAAGAGATTTATTTTTATTTATTCAGATTAATAATTGACAAAAATGACTGGATACCTACTATATGCTAGGTACTTCGGTCTTTAGTTATGTAGTTTTTATGGAAACTTACACACTTTTTTATAGGCCTATAGCAAAAATACTTAAACCTCTATAAATATATAGAAATGAAAAGTAAGACCTGCTGGTGCTTGGTTTTAAGTGTGATCCAATTTCACCAATAAATTTGGTTTATTAACAGAAGCCGGGCCCAGGATATAGCTCAGCAGTACAAGTGCCTGCCTGGCAAGCTCAAGGTCCTGAGTTTGATTCCTGATACCAAGAGAAAAAAAAACAAAAACCAGAAGGCTTCTCTCCACCCTCTCTCCTTTCCACATTTAATACACAGCAATCGGAGCCTTCCATGCAAGAGACACTGTGCTGAATGCCGGGAAGACAATGGAAATACAATACATCTTGAATAATCTCTTCCTTCACAGCACGGCATTATTCTATCCCAACACATAGGCCTAATATACACAGATATATGTTGATTCTGTCCTGGAAATGGAATTTCATGGAAAGAACATTGGATTAAAGGTCTAAATTTTAAGGTTCAAAACTTGACTCTTAAGCAAAGACAGAAGGAATAACATCAGGAGATCTACTAATATCATTTGGTCAATATATCCTCAGTTTTTAAAATTTGTTCATTCATTCTTTCATTCACTGGATATATTTAAAAAAGATTTCCACACACACTTGGCATCATGCTAGGAGTGGGAGAAATGTTAAACACAAAGGAGGTAATATTATAGGAGGGAAAACGGTTACTAATCAGAGAATCACATAAGTGTAAACTTACAACTATAGCAAGCACTAAGAAAGAGAGGCCTGTGGTATAAGATGGTATACTAAGGTGGGCTTACAGCTGAGATACAAAGAAAGACGAGTCTCGTAGGTGAGAGGGCCCAGGGAGGAAAGCATTCCCCAAAGTCAGGGTGGCATGTGTCAACACCCTTGTGGAAGCATGGCAACGGAAGCCAACAGAAGGTGGGCCCTTTGGATGCCAAGAAGATGGACTTGTGAGATGAGGCCCCACAGGCCAGCCACGTAAGGCCTGCAGACTTTGTTAATCCTGGACAGATTGGAGGCCTTGAAGGCATTTTAAGTAAAACATTCCTCTAACCAGATTCTCCCTCTCTGTAGAGGAAGAAAGCAGTCTCACAGTTTTACTGCTTTTTACCCCAAGAATGCCTTCAGCAGAGTCTTCACCTTCCCTGTTCTAAATGCATCCATCAGCAAACACCTTGGGACCACTTCTCTTAGCTCACCACCATGCCTCCCAGCTTGTGTTATTAAAAATACTGATAAGTAAAGGGTGCCTGATTACTACTTGGCCACAGAAGCACTCTGCAGCTCCTACAGGCTTTTCAGAAACATCTTCCGGAACTTACCACTATTTGAGGTGAATAAGCTAGAGAAGTCCGACTTGGATCTGTGGGAGAAAAAAACAAGACAGCCAATCCATTGCACCTATAAAGTCTCATCACATCCATCTCTCTGGAGGGCTGGAACATACGTACATATCTGTCCTGAGGCAATCCACATCATCATATGTGGCCTGTGACATGGAAAGCGACTTCAAGGCCACCGGGTCCTGGGTGTGTGCAGTCAGCTCCAAAGTCTCCACGTAGCCCCCTGTAAGGAAGCGAGCGAGTCCCCTGAAGAACATCCCATCAGGGGCTATCACGAGTGTGTGCGCACGTCACAACAACGAGGAGAGGCAGACCGAATGTGCGGAAGCTGGAATGTAACCTTGGTAGCTATGCTCCTCGGACTGTACTGCCCACCTTGCAGGTCTCCAGTTAGGTTCGCTCTCAGGTTTAGGATAACCATGGTAGCACTTACTCTTCTGTGACCATGGCAGGGCTTAAACACCTATATCTGATGGATCCCGGTTCCTAGTAAGCCAGTAGTTGCTGTAGCTTTGATGGCTCTTTCTTCAATCTAACCTCAAACGTTGAGGTCCATCAGGCCTTACCCATGGGACTTTTCTCACAGTCTAAATGACCTTCTCAAGTCCCGGGGCACTTTTTTCTTGTGACACAATTGCTCAGGGAAGTTGACTGAACACGTCAATGCGTATTATTTGTTACTGATAGAACTAGCCAGAAGAGAGCCTTCCAGCACGTACTGGGATGTTGCACAAGTAGCCAGTGTGCTAAATGCGGGTGCTGGATTATTTCTGAGAGTTTATACACTTGTCATACCCATAAAACTTGCCCCATCAGTTGGCAGGATTAATATCTAGAGCATTGGTGATTCAGAACCTTTTTCAGACACGAACTATTAACCAGATATAAGAGGTAGTGCATCTTAAAAATAAGCAGTAGGCAAAGTGACTAGAACATACTAATTAAATGATCGAAACAATAAAATTTTACACTCTGGCAAGAAGGAATTCAGTACGTGCACCCCAAACCATCTCAAAGAAGGCTAGCTCCCAACAGCAAAGGTCACTATTTCTCAAGGAGTTATCAAAATGTTTCTCCAGCACAAAATAAAGATACTAAACACATAGTTGGGATTCTTTTCTTCTTTATCCCTCTTTTTGGCTGAAGAAAATGCAAAGTTCATGATGGTCTTTTAAGAACAGCTGTCAAATTTGTGTCTTTAACTCAGCCCTCTCTCATGAATTCCAGATACTCCAACCTCATACAGTTTCCAATTGGTTGTCTAAGCAGATTCCAAGCCAAACTCAGGATTTCTCCTGAAAAGTTTGGTGTAAAGTCTACACCTCAGGAAAAAAGTCAGTTCTATCCATTCTGTCACTCAGGTTCCAAACCCTGCAGACATCCTTGATTCCTTCCTCTCTCACATCTCACCTCTGGGTGATAACCATCCATCACCTCTACTTTCAAATGACATCCTGAATCCAAATGCATCTCAACAACTCCATCGGCTGGCCAAGGTGGCACAAGCTGTAATACGACCACTTAGGGGGCTGATGCAGGAAGATCGCTGCAAGTTTGAGGCAGCTTGGGTACATAGTGCGTTCAAGGACAGCCTGAACTACAAAACAAGACCTTGTTTCGGAAAAAAAACAAAAACCAACCAAACAAAGGAGATCACAGACGCCTCCTTCAAACGGCCGTCAGCCCTCCCCTCAGTTACTGCAACCCCTAACAGGTCTCCCTGACTTAACCTGCATTTGCTTCTCAAGACAGCAGCCTCACGATCCTTTAAAAGGCAGTTAGACCGTGTCTTTGGTCCACTCCGAGATTTCAGGGCTTTTAAACGTCTCGTTCCGGTAAACACCATAGTTCCTGCAGGATCCTCACGACTTCTGGCTCTCTCTGCACCATCCTCTCTGTTCCCTCTGCAGCGGCCGCTTAGTCCTGTGGGCCCCTGGCCACACTGCCAACACACGCAGCGCTCTCCCGCCTCACAGCACACGCCCTTCTCTTCCTCTTCCCCGGAGTATTCTGTGTTGCACTTCTAACTGCACATAGCCCTCCACTGTATCACATACTTACTGTTCATTCTTTATTGTTACATGTGTTTGCGGTGCACGATGTCTGCATTCATCTTGGGAGTGGCTCCTGTCCACAGTACAGCTTGTTTCTTCTTTTAATGCCCATTCCTTTTGCTCCCACCTCTGCCTCTGCCTCTAAGCGCTCTTTCCTCTTTCGAGTGCATGGATATTACTGATCTCAGCTCATGTTTATGACATGTGAGGTTTGTGTTCACTGAGGTTATTAGGTTTCTGTACACGGCGTCTCTTTATTCCACCTCCTTCTCCTTCCCTCCCCTCGCCCCTTGCCCTTGGTCTGCTGGACTCCTTCCTGTTTGCAAGAGATTCATCCCCTTCTTTCCTTCTGTCCACCCTTTATTAAGCTCTTTGTGCTTTGCCTTACTCAGATGAGACACCACATAGGGTACTTTAGTTTGTGTGACATTTATTTCACTCAACATTATATTTTCCAAAGCTGTCTGTTTTCATACAAATATCTCCAAAGTATCCTTCTTTTTGGCTGAGTAGTATTCCATTATATATAGTTATTACACTTTCTTTTTCCACTAGTGTGTGAATTCCTCAGGATATTCTTCTCTTAGACACATTTATGTATTCTGCATCTACTTTAGACCATCTGGGTCATTCATGAACACTTGAAGATTGCAATTGCCAACTCCACATGCCCCATAATTATCTTTCCTCATTTTATTTTGCACAACATTTACTACCATTCCATGTGGTAATATTTTATTATTTATGTACTTATTATGTCTCCTTTGATCAGACTGCAACCCCAGTGGGGCAGACATTTTAGCCTTTCATTTGCTGCTATACCTTCAGCACCTAGAACAATGCTGGGCACATCAAACGCACTCAAGTACTTTTTGGGTTTTTTTTTGTTTGTTTGTTTGTTTTGTTTTTCTTCTGGTACCAGGAATTGAACTCATGACCTTGCACTTGCCAGCCAGGCACTTTGCCTCTGAGATAAGTCCCCAGCCCTCAAGTACTTTTTGAATATTGAACAATTTGAATACGTGTCTCTTCTACCTAATGAGGTTAGTGTCTTATATGTAGAGTGTTTACTAATACTTTAAAATTTACATATACTTTTATATACTATTTTCATTTCATTCTATTTTTTCTCTTTTTCTTTTTACACACATTTTAAAAAAATTAGTGCATATTGGTCATACAGAGTAATGGGATTCATTTTGGTAGATCTGCACAGTGCACAGCTTTCTTTAATCATTTCCCCCATAATTCCTCTTGCCCCACCTTTTCCCCTAGGTTCACAGTTGGGGAGAAGGTTCTTTCAAGTCACATAATGTATTTCGGTCATAGTCATCTCCCCATTACCTAGCTTTCTCCTCCTTGATTGAGTGAAGTTTCTTTTCTTCATTATGTTTATTTCTCTTCCTTCCTGTTTGCAAGGCACACGTGCTGTCTATCTTGTAACAGTCCTCCTACTCTATGTTAAAGTTTAATGACAGCATCGTATTGGTACAGATCGGTGAATTTTCCCAGGCTGAAAGCATTCCCGTGCAAAGCCAGTCTCGCCATTGTCCCAGAGCGCCCACTTGTGCTCTCTGCCGGCAATTACTCCCTCCTGCAAGGCAACCATTCTCCTGACTTTAAATACCAAAGGTACGTTCTGCTTTTAAACTTTTTAAACTTTTATTAATGCAGACATTCAGAATGTAGTCCTTGGTATTATCCACTTTCATTTGCTATTGCGCTTGCGAGATTCATCCATGGTGTTGCATTTAGTTGCAATTTATCCATTCCCATGGCTTTGTCTTCCATTATATGACCGTAGTGCAGTATATTTACATGGTGTGAACATTCTACTTTTGATAACATTTGGACACTGCAGTTTGGGCTATTATAAAACGTTCTTCCACGAACATCTTGTAAGCTTTTCTATTAGGTATATACACAGTATGTAATACTTAGGTCACAGGAGTGTGTGTGTGTGTGTGTGTGTGTACATGCTTGATTTTAATAGTGCCAGTTTTCAAAATCCTTGTCCCAATTTACAATCCCTGAAGACTATGAGAGTTCCGGTTGGTCCATATCTTCATTATCACTTGACACTTTTTGTATTTTTTTATTGACTCTATTTTGATGGGCAGATAGATTTCATCGGCATTTCTTTCAGTGCTCATAAGGTTGACTTTCATATTGTATTTGTTTTTTTATATGCTCTTTGGTGAAGTGCCTGCTCAAACATTTTCCCAATTTCACTATATTGCTTTTTTACTGTTGATTTCTCTCTTATATTTTCTGAATAGAAGGGTGTTTATACAAGAGTTATATATTCCCTACATGAGCCTTTGGTCAAATATGTACCTTATCTGTCTCTATGTATCTCTCCTGCTTTGTGAATGGCCTTCTTGCTCTTTCAATGGACTCATTTAATAAATGTTCCCAGTTTTTCTAACTCTCTTCAGGATAAAGCAAATTAACATTGTTACTTCCTTCACAATGAAAACCCTTAGAATGCTTTGACTTTGATCACCTTCTCAACATCTGTGCTATTCATGCTCAATATTTTAGTCTCCCCTCAAGTGGATGTCATTATTATTTTATTGAATTGATACTTTAGCTCAGCTTTTTTTTTCCTGTCCCAAAACTTGCTATCTGGGATTATTTTTCTTCTGCTTTTATAAAGTTCATGCTTTGGACTTTCTTTCAGTACTTTTTAGTCAATGTAATTGTTAATGTGGGTCATCAACTTGATGGGCCTGACAGACTCCCGGGAAATCACGGGTCACTTCTGAGTGTGTCTGGGGGTATGCAGACATGACTCTGGGAACTACATCTGGTGCCTGATCGCTTTCCCTTTGATTCTTTTCTCCAGCTCTCTCCTTCCCGATGCCATGAGTTGAGTAGCTTTCCTCTGCCATGCCCTTCCACTACAATATTTCTGCCTCAGAGCCAGCTGACCATGGACAGAAACCTCTGAATCTATGAACCAAAATATATCCTTCTTCCTTTAAATTGTGTATGTCAGTGTTTTGTGCTTTCATCAGAAAGCTTACTAACACAGAAAACTGCACCGGAGAAGTGGGGTCTGTTGCTGTGACTATTCCTGACCTTGTGCTGTGGAACTGATTTGTGGGAGGAATTTGAAAGATGGAGGATAAAGGCCAGAGAAGCCCTAAAATGCTACAAGCAGAGCTGGGTGGGGATTCTGGTGGGAGCTCAGAACACCAGAATGTTGATAGGTAAGTCAGCATGAAGACTGGGCTTACCAAGTTTCAGCTGGGAGTCAGGACTCTGATAGGAATTAGATAGGGACTGTGTATGTCACGTATAGGCAAAGAAGTTGTCTAGGTTTTGTTCATGGCCTAAAACTGTGCAGCTGAGTGGAAAGATACAGACTGAACTGACTGTGGAAATCTCAAGGCAGCACAGTGTTCCAGCAGTGGTATCATTATTGCTGTCTGCTTTTAGCCAGAGTTGCAATGAGAATTGGGAGAACAAAGGAGATCAGAAAGGGGTGAAAAATTTAGTCTGGCCAAAAAAGAAGTGTAGGTGAAAATAGGGCCAAAGCCAGTTTTCTGGCTGAACTGAAGAGATTAACAGTATATGCAGGCACACCCATGTGTATATCAGCACAGTTTGCAATGCCTAAATATTGGAAACAGCCCATATGCCTACAAAGATGAATGAATAAAGAAAATGTGGTTTTTATATACAATGGTGTACTACTTTGCCATAAAGAAGATTAAACTTGAGATTTTATAGGTAAATGGATGCACTTCAAGGCCATAATCTTAGTGAAATAAATCAGACACACAAGCTTAAATATAACAGCGTTTCTCTTGTACAAGAAACTCAAAAGGTAAGTAAGGACCAAAATAGAGGACAGAGGGCTGGGGATTTAGCTCAGCGGCAAAAGCACCTGCCTGGCAAGTGCAAGGTCGTGAGTTCGGTTCCCGGTACTGGAGAAAAACCAAAAAAACAACAACAACAACAACAACAACAACAACAACAAAATAGAGGACAGATATTGGGGAAAAGGAAGAACTTGTTTAAATGGGAAGGGAAATAAGATGTTGGGGAGGGGAAGATAAGGAAGGGAAAAGGGTCTTTTAAAAAGATGGAAGGGAAGGAAAAATGGAAACAAAGCTTTGTAAATGGAGATGGAAGAAAGGTTGAAGGGAGCAGAGAAAAAAAGCATGAAGGAAAAAAGCATGAAGATATATTATGCACAGGTACAAATTCCCTATGATGAATGTGATCAGTATGTATAGCAAACATGTGCTAAAAAGAAGGAAGTCATAGTTGGGTTTCGTGTCACATATCTTTAATCCCAGCACTCTGGGAGGCTGAGGCAGGTGGATCACAAGTTCAAACCCATCCTGGGCAACTCTGCAACTTAGCAAAACCCTGTCTCAAAATAAGAAAAGTAAAGGATTGGGGATGTATGTTAGTGTTCAACCCTGGAAACAAAAGTAAAGAAACAAACAAAGCCAAGTATTTTGTAGAGGGATAAAAAGAAAGACACCTTAAGGGGTCTCTGAAATCAGCAGGACCTTATCCATCACAGGATCAAGGGTGCAAAGGCATAAACTTTTCATTTCCAAAGACAGTTACTGTCGCGCTTCCTCTTGAGAAGGGCTGCCTAGGGAACTGATTCTCTAGGGTTCGTCTCATCATATTCAGCCAAACAGGCACTCAGAGGCCCCTGGACCCACAGTTCCAGAGCAGGAATGCAGAATATAAGAGACTCAGGATCATGAAGACTTCTGCTCAGCTTTAAAGGAAGGCCTGAGAGGCCACACAATGTGTGATAGGTCAGAATACCTGCTAAAATCCCAAAGAGGGCAATGTATAAAACTATGGGGTAAGACTAAAGCTTCAGTGGAGACCTCAGGAAGTGCAAGGCCCATCTTATGATCCCTTTGATAAATGAAGAATGGAGCTGCTGGCCTATGAAGTCACTTGTCACCTAACTGTGAAGTGTCAGAGTGTGGACACTTCTCATCCCATGTTCTTTCTACTACTCAAGTTACCTCACTAGGGCCAGATACTTAGTGCATAATAGATGTTCAGTAAGTATTTGCAACATAAAATCTCAGCTGCGGGGCTGGGGCTTTAGCTCAGTGGCACAGTGCCTGCCTGGCAAGCACAAGGTCATGAGTTCGATACCCGGTACCAGAAAACACCCCCCCTCAAAAAAAAAAAAATCTCAGCATGTTCCTATTCTACAGCAGTTTGGCAACAGTGAAGAAGACCAGGGAGAGACACACTTACCCTGGTCTTGGGAGCACCTGGCCAGGTTCACATCCTCAGGATAAGACTTTGCTTCCACTTTGTCAGCCATGGTTCCCTGTGGTGGAGCCACCATGCTGCATCTGTTTCTGTGGACGCTGGTCATCTGGAGGTCTTCTGGTGTCACCTCATAAACATCTACCTACATATGCAACAGGGAGGTTTAGCCAGTCTGTTCCTTCTTTTTGTGAGCTGTTCATTCATTCATTTATCCACCCAGCCATCCATTCATTCATTCCTTAAGGACAACCATCATTTATTATTTATTGTTCACGATTTAGTGCTGTCTTACTAGACTCCAAGTTTTTCAGGGGCACAGGCCATGTCCTTTGTTTGCCTCTGAATGGCCAGTGAGTGCCTGGCATGAGTCAGCCCCACAGGCTTCAGGGAAGCAGGGACTACAAGGCCAGTGCTTTATGTTTCTCATCTCACTTAATCATCCTGACACCACTCATCACCAGGGAGAGATCCTTAGAGTATCCGTTCTCTTGCTAGAGTTTAGACAGATTAAATAGCCAGTTTCAGGTCTCACAGTTAGTAATCTATAGAGGTGGGACTCAACCTCAGAACCCTGCGCTCCTGACCATTCAAGGCGGCTGGGCATTCCTTCTCTTTTCTCTCTCTCTGCCTGACCCTGTGTCTTCCCATCCCCCGCTCTTCTATCCCTTCTTACTTGCCTCTGTGCTTCCCCCTCCTGTGTTTCTCAAGCACGTCCCGAAGGTGGGCGCGCACAGCTCTGGAGGGGATCTGGAGAGCTGTGGGGCACAGCGTGCAGCACGCCGGCCACAGAGACAATACTTGCAGCGAACTGGTGCAATGTGACCCATGTTAGTGAGAGAAGTCTTGCTTACGGCGTGGAAACAGGACCGGGAAGGTGGATCTCTTGGCTGGGAGATGGGGCTGGGGAACACTTCAAAAAGCAGGATTTACTAAATTGTGCTTTGAAAAATGTAGGTCAGAGACTGACGGAGGGGACCAAGGAAGGGCCGCAGGTGAATCCGTGTGGGCATAGGCGGGGCAGTTGGAACGCTTTAATGGCCTCCCCACAGCGGTGGTGTAGCGGCTGCTGCCGAGTGAGCAGTGAAAGCAAACAGGGAGGAGACCCCAGAAAGAGTTCAGGTGAGGCTCAAAGACAGGACAGAGCGGGGCGGAGTCCTGAAGGGCCGCACGTGCAAGGCGGGGGTTGGGCTTTATGCCTTAGTTATGTGAGCAAAGCAGGGAGAAACTTGGTTAGATTTATGTCTCAGAAAGATCTAAGTGGATTGGCTGGAAGCCAGTGGAGAGCAAAGAACTAGACCACCTTCGGCTATCTGAGTGTGTTCCCATTATCAGGTGAACGTGAGAGGGCGGGCTATGCTGTCCTATTTGAAAGTACGTGAGACAAGCCAATGTAATTAATATAAAGCAGGAAGTACCCACGATTCTGGCGGCATCATGGCACACTGCGTGGAGAATAAGAGGAGAGCCATTCTTGCCACTCACAGAGCCAAGAATGAAATTTTTAAATGGGGGGAAAGTGATGGTAACATAATGAGGACAGTATTTTACCCAAACACACTGACCGCTTCCAGAGAGAAGCAGTGCACTGACTGCCTTCGGCCTGCGCCGGGGACTCTTCGCAGAGATAGCTCAGTCAGAGTGCATTGTGCATTGTACCCCAAGAGCACTCCCCAGCCACCCCTCCCACTCCATCCAAACAAAACAGTAACCTTTAACAACTTCTAAACTCCAACCAGCTCCATACGGGAATGACCGTTGAGTGGTAGTCTGACCTCATACCTGGCTCTGCCATTTAGCTGGCAGTGAGAAAGAAGCCACACCTGCTTTTTATGGTTGGTATCCTTAGGTTTATTTCCTTCTTGTACACCCCGGATCAACCCCATCCTACTCTCCACTATCAACACTCACATGTGGCATCATTGATCACAGTGCTGCTCCCTGGCTCTGGATCCCATCTTTAATCTCTCTCTCTCTTTTTTTTTTTTTTTTTTCCGGTACTGGGAATCGAACTCACAACCTTGCCCTTGCCAGGCAGGCACTGTGCTGCTGAGCTAAATCCCCAGCCCCTCTGGATCCCACCTTAATCACTGACTTTTCCCTTTGAATGACACTGCCCTGTGTCAGACATTCTGTCTACCCCAGCCTCGTCCACCCCATCCCTGGGCTAGTTCAGGCTACACCACCAGCACTCTGCTCCATGTACCCCTGCCCTGCAGGTAGCATTGGACCATCTTGTATTAAAAGAGTAACCATTTCAATCCAGCGTCTAGAATGCGCAGCACCGGCAGTAGCTCTGGCAGTATGTACTGTTTTAGTGTTCTACCACTACACTGAAGGGGAAAGTGTCTATTGGAGATTCTGTCACACACACACCTACCTATTTCACAATGACAAAAGAACAGTACATCTCATCTTTATGGTACGTTGTGTCTTACAAAGTGCACATTATTTCTCTCTCTTTTTTTTGAGAAAAGGTTTCACTATGCAGTTCAGGGTAGGTTTGAACTCACTATGTAGCCCAGGCTGGCCTCAAACTCTCGGCAATTCTCCTGCCTCAGTCTCCAAGTGCTGGGATTACAGGCGTAAGCCACTACACCTGGCTGTATTCTCTTTATCATGGTGAACAAGGTAAAATGGGATGTGAGTGGAGATGGCAGCTGAGAAAGAATCATACACTCTCATTTTCCTGGTAAGATGATTACACTCAGAAACAGACTTCTAAACAGGACCTCAGAGCACGAAGCTTAAGGCGACCCTTACTCCATGGTGGGCAAGGGCAGCGTTTAAATGCGTCCCCCAACTTAGTCCTCAAGCACATATGTTAATGGTATTTGGAGTGGGCCTCTGGGAGGAGGCTGGGTCTATCACACCCCTCAGTGGGGAGCCAAGGGAGCGACTCTGCTATCCAAGGCCACTCTGGCTTGCTTGCTGTCTCTGTAGATGATGACCCCTGCCGTGTTATGCAACAGAAAGAAGGTGCTCCCTAGATGTCAGCACCACACTTACTCTTGGACTTCCCAGCCAGATGAACTCCTGCCCTTTATAAAATGACTGGTCACGGGTATTTTACTATAGCAGCAGAAAATGGACTAAGGTAGATGGCCACTGAGAGTGACTGCCTTTGTACCTTGCACTCTAGGTGCTTTGCTCAACCTATTCTAGCTCCAACCCTGCTTCCAAGGCCCCTTCCTGAGAAATAAGTGGAAAGCTGGCAGCGCTAGCTCTGTGATCTTGCACACTCATGACCTGATAATATACCCAACACCCACTGCACGCTCTGCCCTCTCTGCCTGGAGAGCTGCTTGTCTGCATCTTGAAAATGTCCCCCCAAACAGATCCTGTCACACATCTGAACTACGCCATTTGGCCAGGAATCCTGGAAAACGGTACCTTGAAAGGATGCTGTGAATGTGGTTCCTGCGCTGGTTTTTGATGTTCCTGTTCACGTGGCTCTTTTTCCTGCATGTGTTTATCTTCATCTTCATGTTTAGGGCTAAAATGTGAAGAGATGCCAAGGAAAAGGTAAGAATTAGAGTGTTTAGATAATAGTGCGCTGCCCAGTCCTAAGTGAAATGAGTGAGAAAAATGACTAAACAGATACGATTTCCTTCTTGTTTTTTTAAGAGAAGAGATCAGGATCAGATCAGCCATACAGAAAATGTACTTGCTCCGGTCAATGCCAGAGCGTCGATTCCTGCTTACAAACTTTTAAGCTCCTGTCTTTCTTTCCAACTCACCTCTTTGCTCCTTCCCTCCACTTCTGCTAGAGTCTAAACTCTGATAGTCACCCAAACCCTGTGTCCTCTTGAGCAACTCTCCTTTTTTGTTAGCTAATTATGGTTGTGTATACCTTCTCAATCTTAAATTGCTGACAAATAAGACGCTTCTGTGTAGAGCATCTTACCTCTGAGAATCCATCCCTGACTGTCTCAGGCTATTATGTGCACTGTCCCTGTTCCTCTACTGCTTTGTCCTTCCATGCTGTATTAGAACCAGAGCTTTCATTGCTCCTCTTTGCTTTACCAGCTAGCGTTTGCTAAGTGAGCCCAGCATAGGCCAGGATGAGATGAGAGAGGAAGGCAGGGTGGGATCACCGAGTACCCGCCCTGAATCAGGGACCTGCAGGGTGTGGAGGAAACTGGACCAGCTCAAGCTGAAGCACAGAGGAAGAATGGTTCAGTCGTGAGAGGGTCACGGCCAGACCAACAGTTTCCTTCTTTTTTTTTTTTTTTTTTTAATTTTGAGACAGGGTCTCACTACATAGTACAGGCTGGCCTTGAACTCACTTATGAATCCCTGGCTGGCCTCAAGCTCACAGGCATCCTCCTGCCTCAGCCTCCTGAGTGCTGGGATTAGAGGCATGCACCACCACACCCAGCCATGCTTTCCTTCTTGAAAAGAAAACTCACCGAAGTTCTTGATGAAGAAAACTCTTCCAAGGCTGAAAGTAAAGAGGAAAAGTGTAATTTTCATAAATTTCTCCATATCAGGCTCTGTTGCCTGGTTACAGATCATTAGGAGACTAGACCAACGGGCAAGGGGTGAGCTCTCAGCACAAAGTCGAGGCAGAGGGTGACCACAGGAAGTTCTGTGAACTGCTGCCTCTGGGGCTGGAAGCCAATCATAAAACAAACAAGTATTTCTGAAGTTCCACTGTGTGTCTGAGGAGATGCATGATTTCACTTAGAAAAATAAATTGCTCTTTGTACAGCCTCCTAGCAACACATGTAGAAGAAAGAACTTGAAATCCTGTGAGGGAATATGCAGTGGCATCTGAGCAATGTTTCAGCAGGCAAAATTGGAGGGATTTCTCCCTTCCTGATCATGCACTCTCTAACCCAAGCTGAGCTCCCACACCATCGAGATTTGCTCCATTGAAATGACACTCTGGTGATCACACCTGAGCCTCCACATGTCCAGTGCTGACATACACGATGCCATTAATTATTTGGTATCTAGCCAGACACTGAAGAAAACACAAAATAAATATTAAAAATACTGCCACAAAACCTAGGAATTGGAGCTCATCTACTCACTGGCGTTGGAGGAGAGAGCTGCAGGCCTTTCTGCAACGACCACTGGCCTTTATTTGAAACATAATTCTAGCAAATGAGATGCAGCCCTGGCAGAGCGCCAAGCCCGATGGACCTGTCCGATACTCTGCCATGTTCCCTCCAGGAAACTTCCTTTCTCTGAGCGCTCAGTTCTCCTCTGCAATGTGGAAGCAGCGATACCAGCTCGTAGGGTGCCTGTGTATATGAGTACCAGGCACACAACAAGGATGGGTGCATGCTTGGCCAGATGCAAAGCATTGCTGAGCACAAAGATGGCCATGGGAGCTAGACGGGATGATTGTCAGGAGAGAAAAATCACAGAAACCAGAGTTGCAAGTGGCGTGAAGGCAACTAGCTCTCTACGGGGGCCCTAGGGTCATCCATTAAGAGCGCCAGCCAGGTCCACTCAGTCCGACACTCAGGAACACTCCAAGTTGTCTGGAAAGGATACAGTCAGATTCCACTCACACTGCTGCAAAATGCAGAAATAAATATAAAAGATTATCGGAGGTTAAAAGGTTTAAAAATCCAAACTCCCCTCATGTTTTTTTGTTTGAAAGGGAGAAGACCCGGTCATCTGGAGAGTTTACGTGTGCAGAACAGTTTATTGTTTGTTGATTCACCAGGTAGGCAAAGCATTTTCGCAGATTTTTTCTATTCCCGTTAATAAGAACAATAACCATTTTTTTTTCTTGCTATAAAGTGTTCGCAGAAATGAGCAATCCTTAGCAGCAAGCAGAAGAAAAGTGAAGCAGAGCTAAAGGATCTGAACTAAAGGTACCCAGCGAGCAAACAGCAGAGACTCAACCAACCCCACGAAGATACTAGGTGAATGCCTGTTGTGAGCCACGCACTGTACTGAATGCTTACACTTTGACTTAGTTCTCCAGCAATTCCATGAAGTCAGCACCGGCCCCCTTACTTCTTAAGCTTCTACTGCTGCAGATAGAGTACCAAGACTGACGTTTGTTATCCCCATGGATAAGAGCGCTCAGTGCAGGGGACACAACTGTGGCTCAGAGAAGTGAGATGCTCCATCCAGGCCCTTTCAGGCAGTACATTTACCTGTGTTCACCTTACGTTTACCTTTCCTTTATCCTCACAAGGGTCCTAGGTCGTTTTCCTTTTCCAAGTAAGGAAATGGAGATCTGGGATCACACAGTCAGGCACTGTGATCAAGGCCAGCAGTGACTCTGCTTGGGCCCAAGTGAATTGCTACACTACCCCCCAGGAAAAACCTGGTCCCTCATGCGGCAGCGGCCCAGAAAGCGTGCTTTCAAGACTCTGGTCATTTTCTTAGGAGCACAAGATCCACAGATGTGGACTGTGCCTCATGACTTCTCCCTGTGGAAGGGATAATTGTTAAAGGCCAGCGGGCCCTGGCTGCCATAGATAAAGGGACGGAGTAGTCAGACCATCTGCTATCTCACTACACATCTTCTCTGAATCTGACACCACAGGATGCAGGACTGAGAATCAGCACAGGGGTCTGGGAAACCCTGATGAACGGGGGAAACTGACAACAAGACTGTTCCTTGCTCACGAAAAGGTACTTTACATGGAAGCTGTACACTTGCTTTAGTTCACAGTGCTATGGAGAGAAGAAACAATACCTTTTGGAGTTCTTCAATTCCCACTTCATAAGTTGCTGAAATAAAGAAAAAAAATTATTTCAAGACAGTGTGTGCATCCATTTCCACTGCACAGCACAGCACAGCACTGATACAAGATAAGAGCCCAGCGTCCCCGCTTTCGGAGCACTGGTCTGGGCAGGCTGTGTGCTCACGGCTTGGGGAACCTTGGGGTCACTGGTCATGGTTTAAGCCTCTGCGGGGATTTCCAGCATGGGCTTTATAGTCAGTGAAAGCATACGAAACCATTTGAAGTTTCCTGGTTTAGTAATAGATAACATATTCCATATTTACAAGAAAGCACTGACATTTAGTGATAACACTTAGAAGACAAGCTTGAAAGGGAAGAGAAAAGGGCTGACAAAAGTCTAAATCTGACTTCACAAAATGAACTCCATGTCATACCCCGAAATGTTTTATACACCGAGCACAGCTTGAAAAGAGGAGCCCATTGACTGTGGTTCAAATAGCTTCTGTTTTTTCTCACAGTGCTGTGGATTTTATTTAGTGACATGATCACTACCTTAATTATTAATGAATATAGGTTCAAATTTCAGTCTTGTTACTTCTTTCTTGCGGGATTTCGGGTGAATTACTTGGTTCCTTTGAGCCTCAGTTTTCTCATCTGTGAAACTGGGCCCCTTGGCACCCACTTTACAGAGTTAATGGGGAAAGTAAAGGGTCTGATGATAGAAATATACTTCGAACAGCATTGGCTACTGTTTTTCCATAAAATTGCTTACTTGCATCTTTTTTTTTAAAAAAAGTTTGCTATAAAAGATTCCTCCTTACTGTTAATAAATGTGTAACAAGCAGGAGTCCTCTTCCTATTTTTTTTTTCCTCTTTTTTTGCTGGTAGAGTCCTCAAGATTTGGCTCAGAAAACTGACAAGGCAACTTTTTGCATTTCTAAGATTTTATTATTAATATATAATAAGTTGATAAAATTCATGAAATCTTAGATTTTTCTCAGGGATTGTTAATACATGATTATCGACACACAAACCTAAAATCCTGCTGATTATGTACTTGGACTTGGGTAACCGTACACTTTTACTTTACTGATTTTTTTTTCCTCTTTTTCTCTTCCTCTCCTTTCACTTGCAGAACTGTAAACTCTCTACCACTGAGCTGCATCCCCTGCTTTCCACTGACTTTTAATTAAAACATTTTATCCTGCTACTTTTTGCTTTGAAAACTTTGGTTAGCTATTCATACTTTCAAAGATATCTATTTATGATAGAATATGTCCCATCTCCATTCCTAGTATAGATTTGCTTTCCAATTTTTTAAAAAAGAATAGTTTCCCCCTCTAATTTATTTACTGTGCTTTTTTAAAAAAAAAAAAATCCAGCAAATTTTGGTCTCATTTGTTTCCTTTGGCCACTTGGGGGAGGTAAATAACATGAACTTTTGTGTAAGGTGTGAGAATTCGGTCCAAGTTTATTTCTCTAAGCTATCATTATCCTATTTCTCTGATATCATAGTTAAAAGGCTCCATTTCCTCTATTGAACTGATTTGCATCTTTGTAAAGAAAAAAATCAGGTTGGTTGATCTGCAAAGTCTATTTCCGGGTCCTCAGTTCTTTTCCACGGTCCTCTGTCCCCGCCACTAACAGAGAGTCTAGATTCCTGTGGATGGAGGTGTTGCAACTGGGAAGACTGATACTTCCCATTTTTCCTTTTCAAAATTATTTTTCGCTATTTTGGTTCCTTTGCTTTTCCACGCACACTTTCCAATAATCTTGTCAATATCTACAAAACATCTTGCTGAGATTTGTATAGCATTTGCCTTGAGTCTGTATATCACTTGGGAAAGAACTGAGGTTTTTACTGTGAACTTTAACTGTATGGAGTCTTTCATTCCATATACAGGGCAATTCTATCTATCCATTTAGATTTTCTTTGATTCCATCTGAATTTTACAGTTTTCAGTTTGTAAGACTTATACATGCTTTTGGATTTAAGTCTAAGTGTCTTTTTTTGAGACTTTAAAAGATATTTTTCATTTTAGTGTCTATTGTGTTCCTTGCTAGTATATAAAGATACAAGTATATCCTGTAACTGCTAAACTTACTACCTCCTGGGGAGCTTGGGGAGGGGTTTAGTTTTGTTTTGCAAATCCCTTAGGAATTTCTACTTGGACAGTCACGTCACTGCAAATAAAGGTTGTTTCTTTGGTTTTGATGCATATCTCTTTTATTTTCCTGTTTGCCTGATTTTTGCCGGCTAACCCCTCAGCATTATGCTGCCTGGGAAAGGTAAAAGGGCATTCTTGCCTCGTTCCCAGTTTGCGGGAAGATTGTTCAGTATTTACCAGTTTGCATCACGTTTAGCATAGGCTTTTTGTGAATGTGCTTATCAAGGTGTGGAAGTTAACGCTCCTAAGTTTTTCAAGAATTTTTATAGCATGGAAGGGCTCAGAATTCTGTCCAATGCCCTTCCTACACATATTGTATGATTCTTTAGTCTACCAATACAGTTGATTTAATTGATTGCTTTTAAATACTGAACCAGATTTTTGTCTCTAGAATAAGCTGCATTTTGTAATGGTGCATAATTCCTTTTACATTGTGCTGAATGCTATTTGATACTCTGTTAAGGATTCTATGATTCTAAGGATTCTTCTGTTATGGATTTTTATGACTATCCTAGGAAGAATAGTGATCTGAGGTTTTCTTTTTTTTGTAGTATTTTTGTCTGGTTTTAGTAGCAGGGTAATACTAACTTCACAGCATTGAGTTGAGCAGCATTTCCTCCTTTTCCATTTTTCTGGAAGAAATTGTGTGTAATTGGTGTTAATTCTTTAACTGTTTGGTAACATTTTCCAGTGAAATAACCTTGACTTAAAGATTATTTGGGAGGGAACATTTAAAATTATGAATTCAATTTTTCTTTAAAATGTCAGGGCTATTGATATTACTATTTATTTTGGGTAAGTTGTGGTGCTCTGTGGATTTAAGGATCTGTCCCTTTTTATTTAAGTTGTCCAATTTATATGTATGCAGTTCTTTGTAATATTTCCTTATTATCCTCTGGATATCTGCAAGTCTGATGATATTCCGAGTTCATTCTAACCTGTATCTTTACAAGAATTTAGGGGATCCTGGGGAGTGCCCCACAGCATTCTGGGGTTAGGTTCACAAGGCCCAGAGAGAGAGGGCTCTGGCTGTGACTGAGCATCCCCTTGGCCCTGGGAGCCGATAGCCTTGTAGAAAGGCAGTAGCTGGCATCTGGCCCAATGGGGCACAAAGTGCTTCTGTCCAGTGTGTTCCATAGACCCTCAGCGTCGGCATCACCATGGCCTCCCTGGACGTGCAGACTCCCCGCCATGTGCCAAAGCCAGTGAACCGGAACTGATATTTTGACAGGATCCCCAGGAGATCTGTGTGAACGCTAAAATGTAAAAAGCCCTGCTCAAGAGCAGGGGGGCCTGGTGCCCTACCACAGGGCGTCACCGTCCTGTTAAGGGCTGGAGTCACTTTACTTATTGCTACTATTTTATAACCATATGGAAGAATCTGGTCTTTACCCAGTTCAGCAGAGAGAAAATTTTTTAGTAATTCTCTAATCTCTTATTTCCTGGGCTAAGAGCTAGAAATTTCAATAGACCCTTTTTTAAAATTTACCATACACATTTATTTGTCCTTTCACACTGGCAGGAAAGAAGACAGAGCAGAAAGACACAATCTACCTGACATTTCTGAATGACCCCAAATGCATTAATAATTAATCTAGAATCTTACAGGAAAAGGGGGGCCTCACTCTGCATTGATAAACTTCCTAAGTGTGTGTTCTAGGAGGATAACTTCCTTCCCTAGGACTGTGAGCTTCTTGTATGACAACTGGACGAGATGCCCTCTCTTTAACCTTCCTTCCAGGAACACCTTTCTTGAATGACAAGCAACACAAAACTGTGGGAAAACCATGGAGTTCTGAGGCAGGTGAAGCTTGTTTCACATTACTGCTTTATCACACGTTACACACATTCCTTGCTTAATGATCATCTGCTTAATGACTGACATTCCTCGCTTAACGCATCAGTTTAATGACTGTTCCGACAGACACCCCACATGCATTGGGACTTACAATGCAGGACCGTGAGTGGCTGCGAGGCCTTACGGTGGTTTCTTCCATAGCACAGCACTGTAATTTGTGCTGATTGTACAGTATAGTACCGTATTTTATGTTCTCTTATACATCACAGTACTGCACGTGTTATGCAAATAAAAGCGAAGTTGACAAGTTGGAGTTTCCTTTGACCATTTGTTCTGAATATTATAATGTACGTACTACACACATTTCCTCATTTAGCAACCCATTCATTTAATGACCTAACCGCAGGAACAGGGCTTAGTCGTTCAATGAGAACTATTGATACTTGTATGACTTTGTGCAGCTCAACCTCCCAATCCTGTTTCCTGCCTATAACAGCGGGGTGATAAACTGCTCTGCCAGCGGGGAGGTATGCAGGACCTGACACATCCACAGTCCAGAGTGCAGGCTCAACAAATACTCGTGTTTATTACAGCTTTAATATTTATGGATTTGGCAGAGAACTGGGTGGTTCTGTAGGCAGAACAAAGACCCTGAAACTTGCAGAGATGTTACTAGTCCCTGATTCATCTTTTTACCTGAGGGGGTTTCCTTTTTCACAAAAAGGTCTCAGCACTGTCATCAACACCAGAGGCAGGAAGGGTGAGCTCTGAGCCAGTGCTCAGACCCATTAAACTCCCTTCCGCTATCCAGATTGCACATGGGCATCTAATTCTCGCGCTCTGTTATCTCCCTCGCCACACTCTGAGGAACCAGGGACTTCAAAAAGATACCAGGAGAGGAGAGATGAAGTTTCTATAGGAGGAGAAGGAGGAAAAATGAATCACCATATCTTGATTTTTCTTCCCACATATCTACAAAAGGCAAAGCAGCTGAGGCGACTGGTGAAGAAGAGAAAATAAATAGGGAAAATGGCAGGAGCAAGAGTGATGAATAGCACTGATGCCCGACTTATTTATATTTTGAAGACACCAGACATAGGAAAAAATAGAAATGAGATGGTAGAACAGAATGACTGTGGATTTTGTAAACTCACAGTTAGCTAGAGAGAAAATACCACTTTGACACATTTTTATTCTACACAGGGTTACAATATTAATTGGCTTAGCAGACTTACAATCAGCAATTTCTTCCACAGTGCACAGGTTAATGGAGTTGCCAGAGTGTCTCGGATATGAAATTGTTGCCTCATAATTATGTGGTTCTTCAAATTCAGTGCTGAGAATCATGGAGAGAAAAAGGTTATTTAAAGTAAAACATTTCTTTAAGCACATTTTAAAGCTCTTTGTATTTTTTTCCTCCTTAGAGAAGTAATGTACGCCTGGCCAAAGTGGCCCCCTAAGCAGATATGGAAGGCACACCCCTCCCCTAGACAAATGCGCATTCTACGTGAAACAGAACTGTGCAAAATATTGTGTGACGATTACATAGCTCATGTAGGAATCAATACAGTAAAACCCTCTGGTGCCAGATGTAACAAGGAAACCCACAACAAGGAGATGCAAGCAGCGGGATTGCTAAGGGTTTCCAGGAGAAACTGAGGCCAGAGAAGGGGAGGGTGTGATGACTGCAAAGCCAGGGACTTAATGTCAGTCAGGAAGTAAGTCTGAGCCCGGGCCTCATCTGAAAGCAAGGCTGTATCTGAGAGATCAGCATGGAGTCCAGAGTCATGTAATGCTGCTCCAGCTATACAGCAAGGTCAGAAAATACCTGCCCATTCTCCCAGCGTGCACAGGAGAGAGCTTGTTCTCTCTGACTGTGGCCTTTAGAGCCGCAAGGGTCAGACACAAGAACTCTACCTGAAAGCCCAGCACTAAGTGCAAATATGGGGTCTAAGTGCATTCAACCTGTGTATTCGAGAAATGGAAAACCCAAGTTGGCAGTTGAAGTTCAAATCTTACTTGTTAAGGCAAATCTGAAATAATTCCATAAAGATGCTTCCACAACTTGGGGTATCTAGGCTTCCAAAGGAAACAGTTCCTATCTTCAAATAGCTTAGAATTAAGACCTAAACCATGCAAAAGAGATGAGCCATCAAGGGAAGGTCAGAGGGCAGCTTGTGGGGCAACTGAATAATAGAGTAATGTGAGAGGGAATTTAAAATAAGTGTGTTTCAAGGGTTCAGGGAAATATGGTGAATAATAAATTCTAAGAGGTAAAAACAAGAGACTGTCAAGAAAGGACTTGTAGATTAAGGGACAGGAAAAAAGAACCTTGAAAAGTATAAATGTAGTTCTTGAAATAAAGAAATTTCTGCAGAGGCTGAAATGTAGACTAGCTGCAGCAGAAGAAATAACTGCTACATTAACTGAATCTAAGGAACTCACCCAGAGTGGCAGCACGGAGAAGTTAAAAGATAGGAAATAGTAAAAGAGAAGGGGGCTGGGCTGCGGAGGTGCAGCGCGCCTATGCCAGGGTGCTGACAGCCAGGAACGAATCACGAAGAGGACTCTGTATTCAAGTGACAACGGCCAATACTTTTCAAAACTTGAAAAGGACAGGAATTTCCCTATTGAAGCAGCTTCAATAGTGAGAAATAGTAAATCCACACATATAGTTTGTAATAAATTAATACCACTCAAATAAAAATGCAAAAGCCATGTGAGAGGAAAAGATACTTTATCGACTAAGGACAGAAATGAGAGACTGGCAGTGGACTACTCATTAGTACAAAACACTTTTCTCAAACCACTGAGAAAAGGATGCTACTGATTTAAAATTCTGTTCCAGCTGAATTACTATCCAAGAGTGAGGGAGAAGCGAAGCTTGTACTTGGAGTGCAAGCACATGCATTTATTACTTGCACGTCTTGGCTGAAATGTGCCAATAGGATGTATTTTGTCCAAAAGAAACTGAACAAGTAATGAGACAGGATGTAAAGAACAGTGATGAACATAGAAACTTATAAAGCTATTGGTAAATGTAAATAAATGTTGACTGTAAAAATTAATCATTTACAGATGTTTACAAATAAGATGGAATTAAAGTATTCAATAATCACATGGAAGGTAGCGGCAGAGAGCTATGGAAACCATTTTCAGAATTTTGGATTTAGGAGTAGGACAGATATTTTGACAATCATTGGACCTTTTTATCTAAAAATGTCAATGATTAGCTGCAAGCACTAAAAAGAATTGAAATAAAGTACGTAACTTCTCAACTGTGGAATATTCAATGGAAAAGCTTAATGTTTAAAAGGAAGAAAAATATAAGTACAGAAACTACATGAATTATAATGGCGAAAGGTCCAAAATAGATAAAAATTATAATAAATGTACATGGAATTAACCTACTTCAAATAAACTACACTATATCTGGATGGATGGTTTAAAATCCAGCTTATAGTGCTAAAAAGTAGCCAAAACCAAAGATCTCACAAAAATAAATGGAAAAAGAAACCCAAACCAAATACTACCAAAATAAAACTAAAGAAGGTATATTAACATTGCATCAGACATTGGCAGGCCCATGGGGAAAATGATAAAGTAAATATGAGTGCAAACACACACATCAAATATAAGAAGATAAAATTAAGAGTAAGTTTTAGTTTTTCAAAAAACTAAGAAAATGTTATGATCAGTTCTCTGCCAATAAATTTGAAAATTTAGAGAAAATTGGCAAATTTGTATAGAAATATAAGCTTACCACATTGATAGAGGAAGAAACAAACAAAAGTCCTAATATGCCAACAAATCATTAAAGGACTTGGATCAATAATACTTCACATACCCACCCTTCTCTTTGCCTGCCTTTACCCTCAAACACCTCTCCTTTTGCTCTCTCACAAATGGCTTTATAGATGTTTTATTTCACTTTCTGAGAACAGAAAAAGAGGAAAAACTATTCATTTAAAGAAAATAATATAATTTTGTTATGAAAACCACAAAATGATTAAACAATATAAGAAAAATATAACCCAATCTCAACAGACTTGAGCCCAAATCCACTAAATAAAATTCTAGAAAAATGAACTAATTGGTATTAAAAAATAACTCAAGAACTGAAATTTATTCCAAGTCTTCAAGGATGGCTCAACATCAGAAGATGTACCAGTGTAATAAATCACACCTTTTTTGTGTGTGCTGATTGGCTGTATTTCTTTTTTCTTATTTTAAAGAGAGTAGTAAATGAGAAACAAACAAACAAACAAATAGAACAGTAGCAGCATACCAGTATCAGACAAAGAACTTCTATCTAGGACATATAAAGGATTAAAAAAAAATCAGGCCCCCCAAATTCAAAGACCCAATCCAAAAATGGGTATCTGAGATGAATACACACTTCTCTAATGAAGAGATACTAATGGTGAATAAACACATGAAAAAATGTTCAACATCATTGGTCATTCAAGAAATGCAAATTAAAATGACACTGAGATTTCATCTCACCCCAGAATGAATCACACTTTTAATAGCAGAAGAAAGACAGATTTTTTTTTTTTTTTTTTTTTTTTTTTTTTGGTCTTTTTGAGACAGAGTCTTCCTATGCAGTTCAGGCTGGCCTTGAGCTCACTTTGTAACCCAGGCTGGTCTCGAACTCGCAATGAACCTCCTGCCTCAGCCTCCCAGGTGCTGGGATTACAGGCGTGTGCCACCATGTCCGGCTAAGACATTAATAGACACAAAAACATTAATATTTTAATAGACACAAAAACATTCCATGGAGTTAAGCTTATTGACTAGATTAAGCTTCAATGAATATACTTAATGGTGAAGCACAACAAAGGGTTAATAAACTCAACTGAAAACTTCAGGCAGGGGAAAAACACAAACCCATGAAAAACTGGACAAAAGTACATGACAGATATTACACAACAGTAAAACTGAATACCTAAATTCACAGTAAACAAGGAAGTGGGTATGGAGACAATGAAAATTTAGTTCATACCTATCAGATTAGCAAGGTGATAGTTGAAAAGTAATACGTCATTTGTCAGGAAAACAGAGAAACAGGAAATCTTTACACGGCTTTGTGACTAAGACTTGGCACAACCATTTTGGTGGATAGTATTTTAGTATCCTATAAGATCAAAGTTGCTTACTATCATTTAACAATCCTACTTCTAAGTAAATAGCCTTGAAAAACTTGCTTATATTCACCTAGAAATCTAGGAGGATGATTACTGCAGCATTATTTGAAATGGTGAAAATTTAAAACCACCTAAATGCTTCTCAGTAAATGCATACATAAACTGTTATAGGTTCACAGGGTGAAATATAACATAGCAATTATAATGAATAAACTAGACTTAGATGCACCAACATGTGAATATGAAAATTGCTTTGCAGAAAAAAAGTGGCGGAAGAAAAATTTAGATGTCATACATACAAACATTTAAAAGACTGTATCTTTAACAGCTTATAGTTCAAGTACAACTGATCACTAACCCGATGCACTCCTAATTTCATGATAGAAGCTGGTGCTAAGGAGAAACAACCGTGGAGGGAAAGAAGGGAGGCTTCAGATGAACACACAACCAATGGAAAATAGCAACTGCATCGCTCCCTCCGTGGCTGGGCCAGAGGAGAAGCAATTATCCATCATCCTCCTGCCTACACATGAAGAGGCCTTTGTATTTTGGGGTTCTTCCTGATTTTTTTCCCATTTCTATGTTTGGTCACGTAGATGCTGTCATAGCAAATGAAAAGATGGATGTTCTTTCCTGTCTTTTGCTTCCCTGTGTATCATTACATCACAAGCACGCTCTCCCCAAATATTTCCCTCTCCCTCTGTTCCTCGTGCACATTCTCTGCAATACTTTCAAAGGTATAGAATTATGAATTCTAATGCTTCAGTAACTTCTCCTTTCACGTTTTTGTTCCTCTCTCCATGCATGAAGTAATTGAGAGCAACTTTCTTAAATTACAGGCTAGGCCATATATCTCATGCTCTGGTGGCTGAACAACCTCATCAAGTCTACGGTAAATTAACTTTATTAATAAGAAACAATTTGTGGAAGAATTAAAAGATGATATCTAATCAATTTCTTGTACAGCTTTTGCCAGAAATGACTAAATATCTGCCTTCACATCATTATAAAGAACGAATTCCAACCAAATGTTTTTCTCACAAAAAGGCAACTTTCAGATCAATTGTCTTTACAGAGAGGCAGGCCCAAGAAGGGAAAGAGGTTACTATTCGAAGGGAAACAGGATACTGTAGGTGTATTTAAACCTTCTTCTTTGCTGTCTGAGAATGTCTTTTTTTTTTCTAGTGCC